AAAACAGGTCATTTAGGCCAATCACAAAACAGGTCATTTAGGCCAATTATAAAACAAGTCTTTTAGGCCAATTACAGAACAGGTCACTTAGGACAATTACAAAACAGGTTATTTAGGCCAATCACAAAACAGGTCATTTAGGCCAATCACAGAACAGGTCAATTTAACCAATCATAGAACAGGTCATTTAAACCAATCACAGAACATGTGTGTTAAAAATAAAGTGATGAATGAGATGTTAACTAACTTTCACATACATATGCCATTTGACACTAGGGCTCCAACCCTTGTGTCTCTATATCTCATTATGATAAATAAATCAAAACTGATTATGGTGTTGTTGTAGAACATCCTAGCAGCTCTTCGTAGGATAACAATGGGCCGCACTACAATAGTGATAGCACACCGGCTGTCATCGGTGGTGGATGCTGACGAGATCTTGGTGCTGGACCGAGGCACAGTGGCCGAACGTGGAACACACTATGGACTGCTAGCCAATCCTCTCAGTCTGTACACAGAGCTGTGGAATAAACAAAACCAGCTTCCAGATAGTAAAGTTCAGGAACAAGAGTCTGAGGAAACACAGTGATAGTTTCATGTATTTTAATTTATGAATTTGTTTGTCCTACTGGTTTATGATGAAAGCATTTAAACATCAAGCTATATAGCAATACACTGGTGTTTGATGTATGTCATAGCAGGGTCTTTTCAGCAAATGGCATAGTGTGGACAGATGGTCAGTTACATTCTATTATATTTAGAACTGATTTTGGTGCTAAAATAAAAACAAATTTATTTAATATACCGGGAACAATTTGCCATCATTCTTGTTGATATCATTGGAATAGTTGAGCTAGATTGATAAAGTAGGATTCAAACTCGGTAGCACATAATGTAACATTGTTTCTTCTTTGGTGTTACATTTTAAGTTTAATATAGAGGGCCTATTTCCAGTGTTCTTTTCTGGACGTTTTAGTAGCATGGTCCAAGGCTCCTAAAAAACGTTTCCTGTTATTCTTGATATCAGAATGTTGACTCAACACGACTTGAAATTGTTATGTTAGCTTTATACTGAATGCTGAATGTAAGAATTTTCTTCTGTTATTTTTGGTATCAATTATTATGTTCCTGTTTATTTCCATTCTGCTGTACATAATGTGCTGTAAAGCCAGTGATGTTGCCAAGATGGTAACACATCAACTTAGGATTATGTTTAACCAGAAGATTATATTTGATATACTGGATACAGATTTAAATAACCAGACTGTATTTTTACCAGTTTAACATTGTTATTGCTGTGTGCTGGAGGTTAATAGAACTATTCTGCAGCAAGTCGGTGATTGTTTACCGTCGTTGTTATGGTTACATAATGGATGTTACTATGTAGATGTTTGTATTTATTTGGTACGGTTGTGGTTACCTTGTAAACAAATCAAGTTTAACCGATCATTTTGTTGTTAATTTCCAATATAGATGCGTGATAGTGTAAATGGTTATAGAAAATTATATGATTTAATGTACAGCAATCCACTGTAAATGCTGTGGACTGGAATATTATATCAAGCTTGGGTTGGCATCTTATCACCAAAGTGCTTGTCCAGACCTAATAAGTAATTATTGGACCTCGGAACATTTGTTGATGCATCTTAAAAGGTGGTGTATTATGACAAGACATTGTGTTGCATGATATCATCAAAAACTGTTAAATGATAAACAAAATCAGTGTATCTGTGAGTACTAGCATACTGCACCCCGAAGCTGAAAAACACAAGGGGTCATGTCCTATCACAGCAATACTTGTCTGAACGGTAAATTTTGAACCTCTGACATCATTTGATAGAATGTTTTATATTTGTTCATCATAACTAAAGATTGTTTTCAGGTTCTCAATGAGAATATTAATTTGTGGTTTTCTGTTTACTTTGTTTATATTATGAAAAAATCTACAAAACATATCTGTGTTCTGGAATTAAAATAATCCCAGTTGGACAAAGTGGTAAAAATATGTTGCTTTTGCTTTATTTCTCAGTATTTTTGTTAATTGTTCTGTAGAAATTTAATGTGATAATTGACGCAACTAAATTCTGGTGCTTTCTTTTTGTTGGTATCCAAATATGTCAATCCTTTTAGCAATAAGAATTCTCCCTCTTCCTTATATCAATCAGTGATGAGAAATAAATCAATTTGATATTGTTTGAAAGACAAAGTGAAGAATTTTTGTATACCTAAAGTGTCGACAGTTGGATAAAACAAAGCATTGGACACAACTATTCTTTTTCAATACAGATTTCTTTTTATCATTTAAGTACCAGTATTCTGTATCAAATTTATAATGATATTTATTAATCATATAGCTCCAGTAATCAATAGGATATGCAGTAATCAGATGTACAATTAACAGGTATCCACAGAGGATCGTATTTACACTGTGTACACAAAATTTCCAGATAAACTGTTCCATTAACTATGTCACCCAGTTAACTTGAGTAGACTCTACCATACAATCATTTGGACGAGTCCATTAAGGTCTACAGTGGTGAAAGGGTTAGAACATCTATCGTACTCTACAGGACGTTTCGGTTTTGTTAAGGGTACCAACAGTAAAAGTTGTGAACTTGTTGGTAGATGTAATAGGCAGTTAACCCAACCATACTAAGCTGTATTTAAATTTTGCACATTTTGGTCGTTAAATATTGTTTTATAGCACATACATTGTGATTGCAAAAATTAATCAATGTGCTTCTGTTAAAATTTGATAAAACACTAAAATTTGAGTCCACTAAAATAAGTACTTTAATAATATTATCTTTAGGTCTGGTTGATTTTTTACTGGTGTCAATCCTAAGAAACTGCCTGTAAAAAAGGTAACATACCTGTTATGAACAGACTTGATCATGACATCACACATATCCTGTACCTCGATTAGTACAGGAATGGATGTTTGGACAACCCTTTTTCCCCCTCTTTATGTTTGGTTATAGTTGTTTCCTTTATTTTCACACTGAAATGTGCTGTGATTTTGTTTTGGAAACCATTTTTAAATATACCAGAAATGTGATAAAGAATAAACAAAATAGAGTTGAAATGGTTTTGTTTTGTGTTTGGTTACATTCTTTGCAGTGTTCACACAACTGTACCTTATTTCCTGATGTAATACATGCATGTAGAACTAGACTGGCTAAGTGCACGATCTTGACTATTATATATATAATTAGTTTACCATAAATTCTATGCTTTAAAATTTAACACAATGATATCCTATTTTTTACAAGGAATGCTTAATTAAGTATTTTCCATTCTATGGACAAATATAAAGCATAGGTCACGATGGACACCACATCACAGCATGAACAATAAGCTTGATAGAAAAAAGTGATGGAGGACCAGAAGGGATAAATACTTTACACATTCAGTGTTAAAACTGACAAGAATGTATGTGTATTGCCCACTGAAATGATGGAGAAAATGGTCAATGCTTGGTGCAGCTTTCCTAGTCATTGATCAAACTATCAAGACACTTAAAATCGTTTGCTATAGTTTTATTCAATCTTCAGAATAAAGTTTATTGGTATTAGTTTCAACATCAGGAATGGCACAACATCAAAGATTTTGGTACAGCTTGATTTCAAATAAACCGAGATTTCTTTTTTTAACTTGTCATTGATCATCACTTTGTTTCTCCTTATTGATGCACTTAAAGTGAAAAAAAACCTTATTTGATAAACACATTTGAATGAAATGTTACTATTCCTGATGTTCATGATGTAAGGTTTATTTCAGAATTAATCGTAAGAAATGTATGGGAGATAGATCTAGAGCGATCAAGAATCCCATACCTCATACATTGGATTACTCGACTCCTCAGCTGATAGGTGATATATGGGATCCGAGTTCATCCATGGCACTTCTAGATTAATCCTGCAATAGCCCTTAATTAAAACAACACCTTAGATAATGTGAAGGAATTTTATTCCAGTAGAAAAAATTTACATCAAATTTGAAGATAACTGTCCATGGATTAAAGTCTTCATATGCTGAAATCCCACTGTCCAACATATGTGTTGTGATTGTTCACAGTTTTACAAGTGCACTCAACATTTGATATAACACTGCACATATATATATTTGATCCACATGTTCCACTACTTCATTCCACGATTTGAATTCATCATTTACTTTCTGTATTATCCTCCTAGTTAATATGATCTGAAAGAAAACAAAATATTGGTCAATATAAATGTCTACGTGAAAAACAATAATACCTGGTTCTAACAAACTCGCAATATCTGGAAGCCAACATTTTAAAGTAGTTCCAAGTCTAAGTATAGGTAGTAACATTGATAAAAGTGACCACAAGGTGAATGTTATTCATCAATTAATTTATTTTTGGTGTTTTTTCCTATGATCCTGATTTGATTGTTAATTTTGACTCGCTGGTAGTTCTCTGTAAGAATTGTGTTTGCTACAAGCAGGTTTTATTGTTTACAATAAAACTTGACAACATTCAAACCTGAAAATAACGGGAACTCTTGTTCAGAAATTTGTCAAAAAGCTATCCTCATACCGGGAAAATGTCACTCTAAGTTAACCGACTACTCCGCTCAGTCATAAAAAAATAATTTCACTCTCACTATTTGAGTGGAGAGTTATCACAAAACAGATATCGTTACAAAAACATAATGAACATAAGTTCCACATACTTTTTCTTAATCGCTTCATAATAGACATATATATCTATTATTGAAGTGTATACGACAGTTTCCAATATTTTATTGAAATCAATGCATACTGTAAGAGTGGAAGACAGGACAAGACTTGTTTAGGGGACCATAATTCTTGTAATATCAATAGAAACAGTATACTTAGTCATACATGATAGGTTTAATGTTCTGTTGTCTCAAAATAAAAAATATGTTTTCAAAAATAAAAAGTAATCTTAAATAAATTTGGATCAATATTTCAGAAAACTGAAAACTTCCTAATTCTATATCAAGGCAAAAAATCATCTTATTTCTTTTCAACCTATTTCATTAGAATGATAATAGAACATAATACAACATATGTAAAAGACAAGTATTTCGACATGCTAAAAATATTACAAGGAAATGGAGAAAATGCGCCCACCTTGATCTGGATCTAGACCTTTGTTTGCGACTGGACTTCTTACCGCTGCTTCTCCTAGCCTTATCATCCTCATGTTTTTCCCTACGTGCCTTCCTGCTGCTGGAGCGAGAGTCTTGTGACACACTCCTCGAATACTTCCCAGAGGATTTCTTGTGCTTACTGCTACTATGCTTAACATAATCATCACTATCGTCGTCCGTCACAGAATGCTTCCGTTTCTTAGATTTTGACTTGGATTTGCTACCACTGCTGCGATGTCCATCATACCTATCTCGCGACCTCCCACGCTCCCTTTCTCGTCTTTCCCTACTGCGACTCCTCTCCTTGTGCCTACGTTTTTCCCTGTCCCTGTCCCGTGATCTTGACCTACTTTTGTATCGTCTATCGTCCCTGTCATATGAACGTGACCTACTTTTATGTCGTCGCTGGTCCCTACTCTGTCTGCTGTGTCTACGGTCTGATCCTCTTTCACGACTTTCACTGTCATCCCTGTATTTGTCCCTACTTCCCTCTACGTCTTCCCCATACCCCTCCCGGCTATGTGACCTTTCCTCCCGTCTGTCTCTACCCTCATCTCTCCTAGAAGACTTCCTAGAGTCTTGTCTACTTGACCTACGTTTCCTCACACTTTCCTCATCTCGACTTCTCCTCCTGTCCTTGTCCTCAGTTAGACTAGTGTCATTCTCTCGGCTTACCTTACCTACACCCGATGGTCTACGAGACACCTCCTTTTTGGAAGCAGACACTTTTTTGCGAGAACTTTTCCCTTCGTGTGAACTAGAAGACCCAGAAGAAACTGAGGATGCAGAACTGCTTGAACTTCCCGAGTCAGACTCACTATCACTACCACTTGAAGAACTTGTACTAGAAAACTCTTTGTTTTTCTTCGACTTTCTGTGTTTGTCTGAAGACTTTTTCATTTGGTCTGACTTGCCCTCCCTCCCGTCCTCCTTCTCCCCAACCTCCTCTTGTTTCACATCCAAACCAGGAATTCCATTATATTTGTTCTCAAATGGATAACTTGCTTTCTTTTCAGACATTGCTTCTTTTAAAAATGCTGGTGTCTCTGGTTCTGTAATTAGTGACAAAACATATAAATCATAGACAATCATACAGATCTAGGTACTGTATTCATTATGTCACAGAACCTTTCTATGTCCTTTCTGCTATAATGAAACTCCACAAACAATACTTTAAAGGCATATTGAAGAAACAAAACTAGATTTTAAAATAATGTTATAAACTTCAAAAGGGAAAATATTTTTCGACATGTCTGTAATGTTCCAGTTCTGTTCCATTAATACAACAAACTCTACAAACTGTTGATGGTTATTCAGAAACACATTTTATCATTTACAATATTTACTATTCCTTGTATTAACACTGATTCCTACCTATTTCGTCTTCCTCATATATGGGCTGGCTCTTGCGTCTCTCCTCAAAATCCCTCTTTTTGCGTCGGATGGTCTCCTGTAGCTCCACGTCTGAGTTGTCGTCATGACTGTCCTGGTCCGCAGCCTCCGAGTCACTGTCAGAACCATACCCACCAAGACCTGTAAACATGGTGTTTACTGCTGAAAACATGTTACTATGACAGTTTATAGTTCAGCATAAAAACGGGGGGAACCTAAACTGTCTACAACGAGAGATAACATACCGAACTTTTGAAACATTAACGGTTACAAATTGAAGTTTTACTTGTTTGTTTTTCTGAATTTTTGTCACTTTTTTGTGTTATCTATCTACATCTACATGAATTTTGTTGGTCTGTTAAAAATACAGCTGAATCCTGAAGGGTTGTACCGGTGGGGTCCTTTTCAAAGCAGCATGTGTGCTTCATGGATTACACATTGTCTTCAAAGTAAGCTGTTGTACAACCACAGAATTACATCTACCCGATTGTTTCAGATTTTATAAATTTTCATACCGACATGATGACTTTTATCACCAATTCTGCTGATTTGCTCTAAAACTCGACTTCTCATAATTATTTGTGTTTAAACTTCTCATAGAGTTAAACTATTTCTGTAAACTCAATCAACTTAATCTAGCACATGTTTTGTATATGTATATCTTCAAATTCGCAAACAAAAAAATATTTTAACAAAGCATTTTATCAATACATTAGATCAGGGCATTGCCTACATTATTTGTTATGAAAATTGAAAATTCAAGTTTTCATAGCTATAAAACCTCAATGAGTACACAAACAAATGGTTTAGAGAAATAAAGCATCACGATGGCACGGATTAAATTAAGGCCATGACGGTGATCAGATATAATTCTGTGGTTGCCAATGCAAATCTGTATAGAACTTAGAAAATTGATTAGAAACATTTATGAGCACAAGTCATGTGACTTAGAATAAAGTGGCGTACTTACCAAGACCCGTCAAGGTTGCTAAAGCAGTGGACTTGGATAGCTGCTTTGCCGGAGCTTTTGTATAATTATATAGACATGATTAGTACAGATGTACCCAGCAAAATGAAAGTAAAAGTAGACACTTCCTTGCTTGTCTAGGGGAGACAACTCTCTTTCCCCATCTGAGAATTCTGCTGTGAATACAATTTTGACTTTAAAACATACATCATGGTAACATAAATCAGGGATGAGAGAACCTTAAACTCCTGTCGAGTGTGACAGATTACTTTCTAAAATCTAAATAATCACCCACAAATATGTTTAAATAAATGTCTTCTCAGAATTCAGAATCAAACAGAAAAATCCAAGTCAAGACTTTATGTTCAACTACTGTGGTGTGAATCCCCTCATCCCGATTTATAGAAGTACAACATATGATACAGAGCACACACTGTCAATAAATAGTCTATTCTGAAATAACTGTTCAGTGAAACAATTTTATAATAGAGCCATTTGCAGCACTGAAAAAAAAAATTCTTCACAAACTGAAATGATCTACAGATTCTTGTGGTGGAAAAACTTAATCTGGTTTGAGAATTTAATTTATTACAAAAAAAAATCAACAAATATAACAAAATTAATATACAAATATTAACAAATACCAAAACGGACATCAGCTGAAATTTTAACAATAGTAAATAGGAAACACAATTTTGGCATCAACATACATAAAACAGATACTGCACAATTTTGTCTACAAACACATTTACCTGGAATTTCACGAAACACAATTTCAAAGTCACAAGTCAGAAATACAAACTTCATGCCGGTTAACATTTGAATCTTTTTTTGCATATGTTGACATCATTTTTGTTCAAAGAAAAGATTACATTAATGCTCGGCAAACTAGGTCAGAATCGTTTTGTGCACTGAACATGGCAAGGTAATAAAAACTATATCAACAGATCTTTCATCATCCTCCATTACAAAGACTATTGGCCATCAATAATGTGCGATGCGGTGGTGCTGTCTGAAAATAAACCCGTGTTTTGAAATGTGTGCTACCTTTAGCAGCTCTGTTCTTTTCCTTATAATACACTTCCTTAGCCACTGCTTCCATTTCTGTTGCCGTCACCTCTAATAAAACCTCTGTCAGCATCTTCCTTGTTTTCATAATCTGAAAACACAAAATAAAGCATTTATAATTTATCAATTTATAATTCATTGCCAAATGGGTTTTTTTCCAAAAACTATTTTAGAATTACTTTTATGTTATTATCAATACTATTAATATTCAGGTGTTATTCAGGTGTTATTTTTTTTCATTTTTTTTCTCTCTCAAATAAACAGTCACCTTGACCTTTTACTGACAATGTATAAAATCAGTACATGTAGGTCTTTTCCCTTGGCCAACCCACATACCAAATTTGAGCTTTGTGCAATCATTTCTTCTGAAGTTACTATCCCAATCCAGACAAACGTGAACAGATGGACAGACATCTTCATGACTGTTTCAACCTCCCCCACCCCAATTAATCATAACAAAGCAACAAATCTGATCAAGTGAAAGCATACATAAAAGTCCACAGGAACAGATACATTTTAACTGTCATACCACCTTGTAAGGGCGTGGTTGAACAGAGAGGCAAAAATTCAATTCCTTACATTTTACATATACTCAACATATGCTTGTATATAATGGTAATGTATAAATTGGGATTCAAAAAAGCTTTGGAAAAATAGTTTACTTCAACCTTACACACTTCATTGACCTTTTATTCTTTCCAGCATTTTTCACCCACTCACCACAGGTGATACATTCCACCAGAAAACACACATAAATTGATTATTCATTCTATTTTTATATTTTGGTAAAATAATTTACCATTTCTAGTTGTTTTTCCTCCTCTGTTTTAAATTCTTCTGGTGAAGGGCTCCTCTTCTTTGGTTTGACTTCTGGTTTTGGTGATTTGGACTTGCTGCGCTGTCTCTTCTCCTCCTCTTCTTCATTATCAGAGTCCTGGTACAGGTAATGCACATGTTCTATTACAAAATCATTAGTTAAAAAAACATCAAATGAAGGAAAGATAATTTCAGAAAAATTCTCCTCTGGACAGCAGTCTATTTTGCGGCTTACTCACAAGCAGTTATCTCAATTGATATCAAATTTCTCAGCGATTGATAATAAGACTTCATACATTTTATCATCAATGATTAAGAATTCCCTACTTTCATATATAGCAGAGTGCTGTAACTTTTCTCTCAACATCCATCCGTCTTGTGTGGTACAGCCTATCAATACTACTCTACATCATTTGGTAATTATTTTATCAAAACTAAATTCAAACTTTTTGTTGATGCATACAAATCGGCTTTTCTTTGGTAGACTTGGTTCTCCATCAGACTCCCCTGCCCTGGCCTTCAAGATCTCGGCCGCAGCCTCCTTCTCCGCCTGGTCTCGAGCCTCCTTTGCTTGCTGGAGCTCCTTTTCTCTCCTTTCCTTCTCCATTTTCTTTAATTTCTCCCTTTCCATCTTTTCAAGTCCTTCCCGGATCCATGCAGGTAAGTTTTTTCTCTTTGCTGCATCTACACAAAACATTGAAGAATATGTTATTAACAACCCCCATTTGAAAATAAGAAAATAAAAAAATATACAAGTCTTAGAATTTAAAATGTACACATCATAGACAATATGTCTAGACCTACCAAAATTCTGATAGACCAGACCTTCACCAAGAAAATGTTATTTGCATATTATTGGAACACTGTTTTACTCACTATTATACACTGTTTTACTCACTATTATACTTATCACTGAATAACACACATCATAGGATACACCTTCAGAGACAACTTGGTCTATGAATTAAAGATTTCCATAGACCTTAAGTGATTTTCATGGTAATTGTCTTTGGGTTTTCCATTTTCATGGTGACTGTCTATGGGTTTTCCATTTTCATGGTGATTGTCTATGGGTTTTCCATTTTCACAGTGATTGTCTATGGGTTTTCCATTTTCATGGTGATTGTCTATGGGTTTTCCATTTCCATGGTGATTGTCTAAGGGTTTTCCATTTTCACGGTGATTGTCTATGGGTTTTCCATGTTCATGGTGACTGTCTATGGGTTTTCCATTTTCAGTGATTGTCTATGGGTGTTCCATTTTCATGCTGACTGTCTATGGGTTTTCCATTTTCATGGTGATTGTCTATGGGTTTTCCATTTTCATGGTGACTGTCTATGGGTGTTCCATTTTCACGGTGATTGTCTATGGGTATTCCATTTTCATGGTGATTAACTATGGGTTTTCCATTTTCACGGTGATTGTCTATGGGTTTTTCCATTTTCATGGTGATTGTCTATGGGTTTTTTATTTTCACGGTGATTGTCTATGGGTTTTCCATTTTCATGGTGACTGTCTATGGGTGTTCCATTTTCATGCTGACTGTCTATGGGTTTTCCATTTTAATGGTGATTGTCTATGGGTTTTTTATTTTCACGGGGATTGTCTATGGGTTTTCCATTTTCATGGTGATTGACTATGGGTTTTCCATTTTCATGGTGATTGACTATGGGTTTTCCATTTTCATGGTGATTGACTATGGGTTTTCCATTTTCATGGTGATCGTCTATGGGTTTTCCATTTTCATGGTGATTGACTATGGGTTTTCCATTTTCATGGTGATTGACTATGGGTTTTCCATTTTCATGGTGATCGTCTATGGGTTTTCCATTTTCATGGTGGCTGTCTATGGGTTTTCCATTTTCATAGTGATTGTCTATGGGTGTTCCATTTTCGTGGTGAATGTCTATGGGTTTTCCATTTTCATGGTGATTGACTATGGGTTTTCCATTTTCATGGTGATTGACTATGGGTTTTCCATTTTCATGGTGAGTGTCTATGGGTTTTCCATTTTCATGGTGATTGTCTATGGGTGTTCCATTTTCATGGTGATTGTCTATTGGTTTTCCTTTAAGTTCCTACACTGATGTACTTAATTTCTAATCAATTAAACAGAAGCTATCTTTTCTCAATTATCATGACCTTAATCTACACTGTGCATGATGACAGGTGCTCGAACTGTAACAGCAGATGGACATACCTATACCACTATCTTCCCCCTGGGGCATGGAGAATCTGTCGTGGCCATGACGACTGTTGAAACCCCGATCATTGTGGCTATTGGTCTCCTGGTCCTCAGATCCCCAATACGGTTGATAGTCACCCTGGTCACCCTCCTGTGAATTGACAGTTAAGAAATACATACAACTGATCACCTTTTCTTTCTGGTTTCATAAAACAGGAGAACAATACTGTGATCTTCAATATGGGAAGAAGACTCAATTAAGCAGCAACAATTGCAATCTCCAGTGGTTACATAAGCAAAATAGACAGTTTTTTTGTTGATACAGCGCATTTCATTTAATATCACATTGCTTAATGTCACTTTTTGGTTATTATCATGTTTTATCTTGATGCATCGGTTTTTTCTGCTATATAATCAATGTAACCCAATTCTGCTTTAAACACTCGTTTTGAAGTCGTTGCTTAATATCACTTCATTATGGCCATTGTGACAAAAACAAGAGGCCCAATGGGCCTGCATTGCTCACCTGGTATAAATCTCACACTTGTAACCTTAAAAATATCAGTATTTATGATCAAAATTCATTCAAAATACCCTGTTAATTTTTTTTAAAACATTTCACCCCTGTGATTGAAAGTCGAACAAATTTCATAGCCTTTCATCTCAGGATGCAACTTGGAAAGTATCAACACCCTGGGACCCATGGTTATCAGAAGAGGTCTATAAAGATTTTAAACAAATTTGACCCCTCTGACCTTGAATATAAGTCAGTCATTCAGTTTAACAAACATAGTAGTCCTTGATCCCAGCATGCTACTGACTAAATATCAACATCCTGAGCCTTTTGGTTATTCAGAACAAGTTGTTTAAATATTTTGAACATATTTTACCCTTGTGACCTTGAAGATGATTCAAGGTCATACATTTAAACAAACTTGTTAGCCCTTGATCCTAGTATGCTACTGACTAAATATCATCACCCTGGGCATTTTGGTTATTCAGAAGAAGTTGTTCAAAGTTTTTAACATATATGACCCTTGTGACCTTGAATATGGGTGAATGTCATTCATTTGACCAAACTTTGTAGCCCTTCATCTCAGCATGCTACTGGCCAAATATCGTCACCCTGGACATTTTGGTTATTGAGAAGTTGTTTAAATTTTTTAACATATTTGACCCATGTGGCCTTGAATATGGGTGAAGGTCATTCATTTGAACAAACTTTGTAGCCCTTCACCCAAGCATGCTACTGGCCAAATATCATCTCCCTGGGCATTTTGGTTATCCAGAAGAAGTTGTTTAAAGGTTTTTGAAGACAATTGTCCCCTGTGACCTTGAATATAATTGAAGGTCATTCATTTGAACAAACTTGGTAGCCCTTCACCCAAGCATGCTACAGGCCAAATATCATCTCCCTGGGCAGTTTGGTTATGGAGAAGAAGATGTTTAAAGTTTTTAACATATTTGACCCCTGTGACCTTGAAAATGGGTGAAGGTCATTAATTTTAACAAACTTTGTAGCCCTTCATCCCAGTTTGCTTCTGGCCAAATACCATCACCCTAGGCCTTTCGGTTATTAAGAAGAAGTTGTTCAAAAGTAAAATATTGACGACGGACGCCAGACGGTTGCCTCGCCACGGCATAAGCTCACTTGGCACTTCGTGCAAGGTGAGCTAAAAATCGTAGGAAAATGATGGTAAGAATCAATAGTTTATACACCCATGTTCTCCGTATAGCTTTATATTCAATATTCCTAAAGTCAAAAACAACCTTCTATTTACTGTTTCCCTGACTACCTATTGGATTTAAAGGAATGGCATTGATAACAAAGCTTTTGTGCCAGGTACTGTAATACCAGCGACAAACTGTTGATATATCAGCAAAATAGAACGAAACAAATAGTGTTAATATACATGTGTTTCATTAAAAGCTGATCAACAACTCAAAATTGTACATGAAACATTGATCAGATATATATACAGCTCAAATCTGTATTATCATCATTACAGGAGGTTAAGACTCAAACGTACATTACAACTGGTACAGGGAGACAAGACTCCCATCTACACAGCTGTGTTACGTGTTGATCCAATGCAACTTTAATATTTTTTCATAATACAATGTATGTATCTTGAACAATACACTAGGTTGACTTACTTGTTGGTAGTCGAAGTTTTCCCCTCCGTGGTTGTAATCATATGACTGTTGAAACCCACCACCATGGCCATACTCGTACGTCTGTGATTCCTGCAATGCAGTCAAATACTTTTAATTGCAATGTTCTCATAAGATGTTAAGTTGATTATAAAGTCTTAAACCTATCAAATTTCTGCCAGAATTTTGTCACAGCTATGTACAGAATTTTCCTACTGTTACCATCATTATTGAAAAACATGGCAATTCTTTAATAAATTAGTTATGTTACAGATTGTGTCCTGAAAAGTTTTAAAGGAAATGAAATCAATGAATTAAACCAAAATTATTTTTTTTTGCTTACAACTTTGCTTTCTTCAACAGGTGGTTGTGGTATGTTCCAGTTAGGTGGGGGCACATTCCAATTTTGTTGCAACCCCCATTCCCAACCCTGGGGCTGACTTCCAGGTCCTGCAAAATCTGAAAAAAACAAAAACAAATTAAATGAGTCAGATTAATCGGTAAGATCATCTCCGTACTATTTTAATCAGAAATGGAAAGATTGATGTTATGAATTTCTCAGCAGTTTGAACAAATTATGTTAATTTATATATTCAGTTCTACTGAAGCTGCACATGTACATTTAGAAAGTGAAACTATACATGGACACCTAATGGTTCTAAACTTTTTAAAGTACCGGTGTACACTGGTATAAACAATGATTCACCTTAATCTGTGTCACAGCCAATCAATTGATTCAAACAGTGCTGCAGAACCGTTTGGTCTAAACCATATCACGCAGAGTTTATCTCAACACGATCCATTAACAGATACACATTTCATTTGTAATTACTTTAATTGATTGGCCAGAGATGAAAATATTTTAATTTCTCCTTAAATTTGAGGGAAAACAAAAACCAATTACTTTCCCAGCAGTTTTTATCTGGAGCCCTGTCACAAATTCAAACATTACTTTTACCGGTCTATACAAATACTGTATATAGTACTTTATATCAGTTTTAATTTACTTATACAACAGGCATGCCTCAACCTCCATTTATAATGTTTATTGAAAATTAAGATTATATCTGTTTGCAAAAAAAAAAATCTATAATAATGAAACGAAAAATGGAAGGATGAAGGGAAAAACATAAAACAGATCTTACTGTTGAACGCAGCATTGGCCTGGTTTGGCCCATTTTCATGTTCCCCATCGTCTAAATCCATGTCATCACCACCTGCTCCATTGGAGGGACCCACAGGTGGAGGGGGTGGGGGTCCAGAGTGCATGGGCATCATCATGCTAGGCATGGGGGGTTGTGGGGGCACCCCTCCATGATGTACAGGTGGCGGGGGCACAGTGGTGGGGCCGGTGACAGCTTCCTTCTGCTGTATCCATTGCTTAGCTAGTGCTGCCCAGTCCACTGAAAACCAATCATCACAAATATTTCAACTTCCAAAGTTTTAAGTTCATGCTCCATATTCAGTCGTTTTTTAAATATTTCTACAGTCATGCTTTCTCACTTCCATTTGAATTGTAATCATACATGCAGATGTATACTATGAAAGAATGTCTAATTTTTGAAAGCAATAAAAATTTACCAGGGTAAGGGCAAAATCTTTAGTTGAAAACAGTAATAGTAAGAAAATAGGTCACATAAAATAACATCATTACTGTTGTCTGTCTTTTTTTTATATATACATGTGCTTACATCATTTCTGGGTTACTTTCTTTTTTTAGTAAAAGACATTTTTAAGACCAAATATTTGTCTTTGAAAAGGACTTTTTACACATTACTTTTGAAGTGTATTGTCCATGAACTACATGCATATTATGGATCCAGAATACACTTATTACATGTATGTGTCACAAATTGTCTCTTTGAAAAAGAAATAAGATTGGGATATTTATTCTTACCCTGCTCATGAGGAACCCCTTGAAATACTTGCTGCATCTGAGCAGCTGGCCAGGGATTGGCCCACATCCTTAGAAGTTGTAGAAATCTCCTGGTCCTGAAGTTTCGAACTATAAAAAATCTGGTTTGTTGATCTTCTTAATGCACGGACAGGTCACAAACACCTGAAATAACAAATATGTACACCAATTAGGGTAACCAAAAACGGGTGGTCAGGTGTGGTGCAAAGGATAGTGCACTCGCCTTTCACCAAGTCAGTCGGGATTGGTTTCCCCTATCGGACATGAAAAGGTTCACCTGCAGCCCAACAACATGGGTTTTCTTCTGGTACTCCAGTTTTCTTTCAAATTAAAACCACCTGCACTAACATCCGTGCCAACAAGAGTGAGAAGTATAAACTGAAATAGCCAGTTTCATCATTGTTGTAAAATAAATAAAGTTAGTATATATTTAACAATTATACAGGAATTTGGTTTTCATAAATCTAAATTATTATTCCATTATATATGTAAAATACACTATACTTAAACAAGACTGGTTCTAAAATACAATCCTGTTACATTTTGATTCAAAATTCAAGATTATTTTGTCACCAAGATCATAAACAGGTTACGAACAATCCAAGTAGATAAGTGACAACACATCATTTAAAATTTAATGTTAAGGTTCAACAAGTTTCCTGAAAGAACCCTAAATTTCAATTCTTTACTTTACAGTTAGAACTTCGTCCATCTTGTCGTCAGCGTTGAACGATGCCATTTCGTGACCAGTCTCTGTGACAGATTATTTCTATTTCTACTGTGGTATCACTTCAGTCCAAAAATACGGAAAAGTATCAGTAAAAAAATATTAACAAAAGCATTTCAAAGTTTGTGTCTGTAATAACATGAATGGCCTATTCTAAATGTCCACTCCTACCTACCGTATAATCACAAACTGACGATATTGTGTCTGCCTTGTGCTAGGTCACATTATACCGACAAGCAGTTACACATTTAATTTTATGCAACTTTTATATGCAATGCTAAATGTTTTTTTATCTTGAGAATGTGATTAAATTATGAGATAAGAAATAAACTTTTTTCTTTTTTCAATATATATAAATCATCTCAATCCACTCCCATAGCCTATATAGCTACTAAGGTGTGAAATTTGTGTACAGGTTAATTACACTAAACACACCTGTGTCCAGTGCTGACAGCAGGATTACGTAGACTATGAGTCTTCCAATTTTCCATTTAACAACGATGTCCTCAGGCTAGATGACAGGAAAATTAATATGGATCAACTTCAAGGTAATTATGCAAATATAAAATGTGTAAGCACAGTCACAGATTGTGTTGCATTTTATGCAAACCACAATCAATACAAGTTTATATCTGATCAGGTGCACGTGGTTCAATGATAATTAACTCGTATTTGTAAGACTTGAACACGCCAATTCATCAGATAAATGAAATGGACAGGTTCTTTTTCTGCAAGATTCTTAACACTGGAGTATATATATTAATTGTTTATTAAAAATGAAAGAGGTTAATTTGTTATATTCCTAAATTCACTCGATAGCATAAATGATAAAAATATGGAAGTTTACCCCACCCCATACATCTTCATTTATTCTAATGCAAGAGACAAGAAAACTACCTGGTAATGTCACAAATAGTGCATACTTATTCACAATGGTCCACGTCTTTATTACTGAGGGTAAACATTCATAGGTCACTGCTCTTTTTGAGCATGAATTATTACCAAATGTCCCTTGGCTTTTACCCAACTCTAAAATATATAACTTTAATGCAATTAACTTTAATAACTACAAAATGGAATAATTTCTTTGTCAATATGTGATATCATTCATATCAAATACTGGTATCAAACATGTGCATTTTTTACGTAGTAGTTTCGTGGGTAACAGTGTCCTTATTGAACCTTGCATTTTTTTTTTCAAAATAACTAGTTCCCAAGATCTCCATTTTTGAGAATTGCCTGACAAAGAAATACAATTTCAGCATATAAAAGACACCATGTTACCAATGCAACAGTGTGAAAATTGCAATTTTGAGTATGAAATACTGGTAGACGATGGAAAACATGGTGTTCTCCACCTTTTTTTTAAAAACGTTGATGTCATAACCTTCACGAAATGCTTAATATAACACAAAAAGACACATTCTGAAAATTTGATGTTGAAGTCACACTTTCTGGACCATGATTGAATTTTGCCTCATATATATATACAGCAGTGTACATGCACATATGGATTACCCATCAAAATGTGTGTTCCAAAAAGGATGCCGCTGAGGCAAAGGTGTGTTTTTCAGAAAAGATCGCAATACCTTGGAAACTGAGGCCATCACGACGTTCCACCATGTTTAGCCTGTTATTGTATTATATGAAGTATTTTCACAGAATTCAGTTGGGTTGCAAAATTATTGACATGTTATAATAAATCTAATATTTTTTTGCAAAATCATCAGCCTTAATGTTGACTATGTTAATATCATTATGTAACATTTTATTAGTTAATCCATTAGCTCAATATATCCAAATTACAAATATGAATTTCCGATTTTAAACTGGTGTCTTTTGAATATGACTTATCAGGGGTTGAATTTTGGGTGAAAATAACATCTTTAACAGGTCAGGGAAAACCACTAATTTGCGTATCATACGCAAACTCGCCTATTATACGCCAATAGGGGTATGGATTTGTTACTAAAAATAGCCAAAATCACTTTAATCTTAACTTTTTCAAATTGTTTGTCCGAGTCGCATTTATTATTTCAAAATTAAACTTGATTTGCATGTGGGAAAGTACCAAACATAGATGCAATACTTCCGGTAAAGTTACATCAAGTTTCTAAGTAGCCAACGCTTTCAGTCAACATCTTTTAGCAAAATATTATTTACCTTGTCGTAAATTAATGCGATTTTCAATAATATCTTGCAAAAGTTACTGTTAAAGCGATTTGGGTTATTTTTAGTAACAAATCCATACTCCAACCTGCGTATAATAGGCTAGTTTGCGTATACACGCAAGTTGGTGGTTTTCCCTAACCTGTTTAAGGGGGCTTGTTGAACCTTGAAGGGAGGATGGACTTCTATTCTACTAATAAACATAGAGTTGGACATCCAAGCATATCTGCCAACTTTTGAAATTTCCATGGAGGAGATTACGCGTGCTCAGAATTGAAAACATAAACAAATTAACAATATGTGTGTGTGTATGTACATCCAAGGTATTAATAACACTTTTAAATGGCATTTTTTTAGTTGTTCTTTCAGATGAATTCATCATATCTTAAAAAAATAGGAATAGTTATGCTACTGTACTGGTTAAAAGGTACCATTTTAGGGTCCAAAATCGGGGGAGTCCCGAGTCTCCCTCCTAAATAGGGGGGGGGGGGGCAAGTATGTTCGAGTGATTGCCAATTAACATATCTATAATAACATTAATTAGACTACTGAACTGTATGGCATGAATTCATCGCATGGCGTTTTTCAAGGACATCCTCCCTGCTTGGGCACACAAGTATAAGCATGCAATATTTAATGACTGGTCTCTGTAAATCACAACAAATAATTGCGTGCAATGTTTGTATTCAAGCCAAATTCGGACATTGTTTCCACAGGGGCATGGATCGCTTTACTTGTAATATAAAAAAAATTAGGGGTCTCCTATACAAATATATACAAAGGGATATAACGACAGACTGAAATCCGTTACCCCCTAAATATATATTAGTATAGGAGACCCCTATTTTTTTTATATTACAAGTAAAGCCATCCATGCCCCTGTGATTGTTTCTACGTTTGGGCATGCATGCAAGCAACGTCAAACAATAGCATTAATACACCTTTTCAAACAATTAGAATGTCAGACGTGGTAATTAAAACAAATAAATAACTTACATTCTCTATCAAGCATTTCGAATAATTCTGTGGATGTTATTGCATCGTGTAAGAAACGAGGACATGGCCTTGCATAGCCGCCATCTTATATATTGCTTGCAGGGCATGGGAAAATTGACCAATCAATAGTCACCGCGCTGATAAAATTAGAGCCGTGTACTGGTTCACGGAATAATAAATTATTGATTAAATAGCCGAGAAATCGTTACTATATTGTTTTCACTCTTTATCGAATAACATTTTTTACAACATTAAGGAGTCCGCTTTGTATAATTACACTAATCAAAGACGTATATATTTCATGTAATATATACGTCTCTGTGATCATGACAATACATTAAGTGATTTACCAAAGTGTCCAAACTATAAAAAGTGTAGGCTTTTAGAAAGGAAGGAATCTATCAGAGACTTATATAACATTATGTAAGTTATGTCTCTGCCTCTATTGATATTGAATGGTTTTACAATAACGGAATGAAAGCTAACCCTGACAAATTTCAGGCCATATGTTTTAGGACTAATCTCATTTTGATATCTCGAATACTAACATTAAATGTGAAAACTCTGTAAAATTACTTGGGCACGGATCTAATTCCGTGCTTGGGGTTGACATTGATAATCTTTTTAATTTGATGCTCACGTTTCAAACATATTCAGAAGGTATCAAGGCAGCTGGCTGAATTGAAGAGATTGAGATTTTTACCGAGGTCAGTCAAGACAGGGATGTGTACTAGTCAAGATTCTCATTTACAAATCTTCCATTCTATCAAATGTGTACTGTCCTCTTATTTGGCATTTTTGTAACCAGTGTGCAATCAACAAAATTCAGAAATTACAAGAAAGAGCCTTGTGTTTTGTTTTAGATGACTTTGAGTCTGACTTCAATTTTTCTACTGTTAACAACAAAGTTTTCTTTCTTGCACATTTAAAACACATGAAAATGAAGGCGTGATATTTTTAAAATTGTAAACAATATGTCTCCTGGGTATATACAAGAATTAATAATTAAGAAAAGTATCCAATTATTATCTAGGACAAGAGTGGTCTGTAGATATACATAGGGTAAGAACTACCAGGTATGGGCAAAATCTTTTCGGTATGAGGCTGCCCGCATATGAAACTGTCTGCCCAACGACCTACGAATTCAGACCGATAACTATAAGGATTTCAGTAGGCAGTTGCATGTTCCATATGTGTGTCATGAAATTTGGTTTAACTTTGTTTAACGTCCTATTATTAATTAACAGCTAAGGTCATTTAAGGACGTGCCTCCACGTGCGTAGTGTATGCGTGCCTGCTATGCAATATTCAATGACTGGTTTGTTGTGATTTGCAGGAGACATGGCACGTTAGTGTGTTTGCCTCCTTGTGATAGCGCGGATCTGATGCCGACTTTATAGTGCTATATCACTGATATGCCATGCCGCAGGCACCAAGAACAGCATTCCGCCCGCTCACATTTTGCTGACAACGGATTAACCAGTTGTTGCCATTTCCCTTAATGCTGAACGTTAAGCAGGGAATAACAACTACCATTTTTTAAGGACTTTGGTATGTCCCGGCCTGGGGACAGAACCCATTGCCATTCTCACCTTGGCGAACGCTCATCATTAAAGCCAACAGTGAGGTGTTGCCAAGCAAGGCGCTAGGAAATAAAAGGTAGTAAGAAATAGAAAGAAAGATAAAGATTTCAAATATTGCAATGGGTGCAGCAGATTTATTTTGGTCGCTTTTGTGTCCCCAAATAGAGGACACCAAAGTAAATCCCCAATTCTGCAGGGGGTTCCAACATTAGTCGCCCCCTACGATACATGCAGTGGGTAACAGCTGATTTATTCTTTTCCCAATCCCCCACCTGAATGGGTGTGTAATGTAACACACCGTGCCAACTTTCTACCCTGGTTGGTGGTTTACTGAAAATATAAACCTGAAATCTGTGATAAACTACGTGCTACTTTTTAACCTTTTATTTTTATTTTTATGAATTTTAGTGCATTCAAATCTTACCACAATCTATACAAGGACTAGATCTAGTAATATTTTACAAGCTAAGTGATGCATCATTTATTTCTCAATTTTGATTCTATTAAATTTTAAGCATGCTAGTCCAGTCTTTTTACTTTTAGTACTGTTTTTAATGAAATATATATTTATTATTTTCTAAACTACTATAGGCCTATATGATGTGCGCATTAAAGCAGACCTGGAGTGGGAGGGGCTCCCCAACCCTTGGAAATCTTGATCACACCACATGATGAAACTATAATTATGCATGCTCATGTGATATTTGTTTTATTACATGTATTGTTTTTGTCTTAACTTGAATCATATTTTACCATAATTTATTTTACCTTGTTTGTCGAAATACAAGTTCCTGCATGAGAGCTTATATGTTCTTTGTTCACCATATTTGACGTCAAATAAAGTTTCTTGTATCTTGTACATTTTTTTAGAAGCTTTATCTGCTCAAAGATATTTAAAATCGGTACATACGTCTCTTTTCTACTAAATTGGACTATCAGTATATAAGTAAAGCATGTGATGTGTATTGAGTTATATTTACATTTCCACTGCGAGTTCCTCTATATAAGCATTACAAGAAGAATTGCGTTCAAAGAGCTATAAAAACAGATCCAAAGATGAAATAAACGAATCAGATGACGTCATGGTGGCCATCTTTAACTTTATCAAAGTTTGGAAGTTTTCCGGGTGCAGATTTGTACTGTTCCTAGATTTGATGAAATTGGCCGAGTAGAACTTCTGAAAATGTGGTTTACACACATAACTATATCAGGGTTTTCAAAAAGATGAAAGGAACTAGTCAGAATGGCGTATGACTTTGACGGCAAATGTAATAAACAAATAAATAAATAGATAAAGACACCAAATTTATTGTATTGACTACAGAAAAAGTGGATTGAAATTGGTGACCTTCGACCCAACAGCAAGAATGTTTACTACAATTTTGTTTTCGAATTACGTGTAACGAGAAAAATGATAGTACCAAAGAATAACTACCAATTGTATATAATTGTAAGAATTAAGGCTACACATGTGTCATCAATACTTTTTTGAGATATGCTTTGAACCACAGAAAAAAAGTAATGTTTGTGATGTTGGAATCATTGCTATATTGGGTTTTATCCCAATGAAGGTTTATGTATTTAAAAAAAAAAAAAGTTTTTTTTATTAGTAGCTATCTTGTCGATTATTTTGTTTCATTGAGGTGTTGAACCGAAGAAGATATAATTCTATCATGATACACAAATTAAAAATAAAATTTTGTAATAGAAAATGATGTCCGGATATGTTTACCGCTTTTGTACTTATATAATCGCCGTCACTGTTTTCGATAATCTCTGGACTCTTCCTTGAGTTACATATAAAAGTCAGAAAAATGTCGTCTGCACACATCCGGTAACAAATATGGCGAACAGTGTGAGAAGTTTTCAGATTTGTAGAGGTTGCTGTTCAATTTTTCGTAAACGGCTGGTATTCAATTCGTGTCAGCAGTAAGTATATACTTGCTTTGCCAAGCCGCAACACTTTCTACATCAATGCACAGGAATTCGATTCTAATTAACAATATGAGATAGTAATATCTAAGGATGCGCATAAAAATCTTGTGATCAATGTTTTCACCTTTCAGACAAAAACTACCATATATATATATAGTTTACATTGTTCTCGATGTATGATCAACAAGCTATTTCAATCTCTATTTTCATGTGTGTGTGTGTGGGTGGGTGTGTGTGTGTGTGTGTGTGATAGTCTAGAAAACATTCCTACAGTGACATATGCCCAGATGATGAAATACATTACTCCACTGTTTTGCTTTTGCTTTTGTCGGTTGACTGGTAGTCCTTCATCCCAAGATTATCACCAGGTGCACGAAAGGGAAAATTAAAGCAAAGTTTGATCGAAAGCATAGGAAAGTGGGGAATATACACAGGGATTGGGCATTGCACACATGACATCTCTGGCAAGCTATTCCACTGGATAACAGTCCCAGGGTAGAAAGATAATCTGGTATAGTCTTTGGTGGGTTGGATCTGCCAGTACTGGTGTTTATGGCCTCTGTTTCGAGATGAGATGAGCTGATCCTTCATGTTGCTGGCTACCAGGTTGTTCCGAATTTCATAAAATACTGTCAGTCTGGCGTCAGCACGTCGGTGTTCCAGTGTCCTCCATCCTAGGTCTGATAGCATGTCCGTGACACTGGAGGTGTTATTATGTCTGTTAAGGACCGACCAGACTGCACGTCGCTGTACCATTTCGATCTTATCGACTTGGGCATGTTTCTTGTAGTCTGGATGGAAGTCTCTCGCTGCTTTTGGATCCCATACAGTAGCACAGTACTCAATTTTCGGTCGAACCAGTCCCAAATAGTCCCTTTCCTGTTTCAAGGAGAATGTTTTATAAAAGGTCATTTTGTAGATGATACCACACTGGTCACATGTGCTTGTTCCAAATAAGAAAAGAACGCCAGGGCTTTGTGAATGGGGGAATGTAATGTGCAGGAAAATATGAAAACTTTGACCAAGATTTATGTTACTAAATGAAACTTGGTAAGAAAGAAAATAAAGAATCTTGTACTAAACTTCCATGGAAATTATTATTTATTCTAAAGTGGAACGATGTGTACAAGTTCACATTTGAGGATCCACCAGAAGTGGAACTTCAGGCTTCAAGTACAGATGTAGTGGAGTCAGTAAAAAATATTTGATTTTACTGAAAACAATTAATGAACAAAATGAAGCTGTTTATGAATCCAGCTCAATTTTCTTTCTGTTCCAGTTATGTTACAGTACCAAACAGGGTACCCTTTATTTCACAAGCACCCAAAGTATCTGCCACAAATGTAAGATGTTGTCACAATGGGGGTGTCAAGCAAAAACCTTGGAGACCTGTTGCTCAAACCACTATTGATGAAGAGGAGATGGAGAAATTCCAGATGCTCTCCAGCCTCTGGTGGAATGAGTTGGGTGAATTTCAGGCTCTACATACAATGAACGAGTTGCGGGTGCCTATGATCAGAGACGCCCTCGCAGAAGAAACATTTACATCCACAGCATTACCGCTGGAGGGCATGCAGATACTTGATGCTGGATGTGGTGGGGGCCTGCTGACAGAGGTATCATGCTACTCATGTTATGGTATCCATTATAAGGCAACTTGTTCACACTTATTTTACAAGAATTGTTTATAAATGTACATATCTAGAAACAACTAGTGCATGTTACTTATAGAATTAACTTTTTTTTCTAAGTTTGAATACAATCAATACACACTGGAAGCTGCATGGTTATATTTATCCCAGACTTTTTCTGGGGAGAAATCAGCGAGAGAGATTCTAGGCAGTTTAAGACTTCTGTTTGGTATCAGCAACATGTTTGTGTTTTAGGTTGATGAAATGGCGTTAGAAACCAAAGTAAGTTCTGTATCACATGTTATGTCTTTGTTATGTAGCCACTGGCCAGACTTGGTGCTCAAGTGATAGGAGTGGACATGGTGAAAGACAATATCAAGACAGCCCAGGCACACCTGGTGGATGATCCAGCCATCAGGGGGCGTGTCAAGTACATACAGGCCACGGTGGAGGATCTTGTCGGGTCAGAGGAGGCTAAGTTTGATGCTGTTGTAGCTTCAGAAGTTGTGGAGCATGTTGGAGATCTTCAATCATTTTTGTCTTCCTGTTGTTTACTTTTAAAGGTCAGTATGTGTATTTATTAAGGATCCCTTTACCACTGCCAAAACCTGTAATTTTAAAGTGTTGAAAACTGTTATTTTCCAACATGACTATGGCTTTGATAACATATTATTTGTAAATTATTTTAGAAAAGAAAACCATACCTTACAGGACCTTAATTAGAAATAAAGAAGATAAAATAAACAGAATATAATCAACAACAGTGTTCTGAATGTAAAAAAACAATCGCAGGGCTAGACCAGGATTTAAACCCTGACTTTAAGGGGAGGTAACCGTATATAGGAAAAATCACAATGCAGTGGGGTAGGGATCCTCAAGGGAAAATTGCTAGAATATAGTGAAGATTCCCAATGATCTGTCGCTGTTAAGTTAGAGTAATTTTCATATGCGAATTGAACAGGAAATGCTTCCACAGAACTTACACCTATTTAAGTCAGCTTTCAGTATTAGAAAGTTATGAAATTACTGTTTCAAAATTATATTGCCTTAATAACAAAACAAAATGAGAAATATATCATATTTGTGTGAAGTGTCAGTCTTCGGAATGGTACTGTATGTACAGTGAAACCCTTATAAACCGGACACCAATATTACCAATAGTTCTGTTTTGATTATTTAAAATAGGAAGGCTTTTGGGCTCAATTGGCCTGGAATAGTAATATATTTAGACAATTTAAGTATTAAAGTCTGGTTTATATTTGTTTCTGAATTATACAGAGGACTCAATCATTTTAGAGAGATTACACTGTATAAAGCAGTGTTAGTGCTTGGCTTTAAACAAAAATGAGGTCCCAAAGCGGGTATTCAATTTTGATATACAGATTTTTCTTTTGGGGTCCTCTGCAATAGATTTTTCTTGAAAAGAATAATATCAGTATGAGCACTGGTATAGATTTGGAATGTATGTTTAATCTGTTATCAGATCTAGCAAAACAAGTGAAGTCTTCTATTTTATCTTATAGCCTGGTGGATCTCTCTTTATCACCACAATCAACAAGACGCAGCTGTCACGAGGATTGGCTGTGTATGCCGCGGAGAAGCTCCTGCGTTTGGTGCCAGAGGGAACACATGACTGGGAGAAGTTTGTACCCCCCGATGATCTACAATACCTACTAGAAAATAGTAAGGGCTATATATATATAAAAAGTCATCCTAATCACGAATATTTCTTTAAATAAGTTGAATATTAAGAACTATTTAATGAAGTGAAAATTGATCATTGATCAACAAATAATGTGATTTATCTGTTATCATTGTCGAATGATTTGCTACTCTTGTTAAAAGATTCCACATTCAAGTCGTAATTACATTTTTTTCTTTGTACAAATTCTGAACACTATATAAATAGAAGTATGTCTACCTTAAAAGTGTACTGCTTTGTTTGCTAGATGGCTTGACCACACGGCTGATCCACGGACTACTGTACAACCCTCTCACGTGTAGGTGGAGCTGGGTAAAGGACACTAGTATGAACTATGCGTTACATGCTGTAAAGGGAGATAACTCGCTCGATGATGCTGATTTCAGCCAAACAGTCGAGAAGGAAAGTTTTGACGAGAACGATTTACAGGATGGATCGAAAGATGACACAAAGCTTTAAGTCAAGTATTACTTAGTTTCAAGCTGACTTGAATTCGGATTGAACAAAATTATGTTTACAAATATTTAAAGGAGAAACTTCGAGCTAGAGACATCTTGTAGTTGGTAGATGTGGCTATAAATTAGTACCTCAGAAAGTAATCATTTAATTAAGATTTTTTCTGAATGTGTTGGATAGGTACAAATTTCATTTGAACAGTTCATAATGATAATTTCTTTATTATAAATGATGTTTACTTTTAATACTTTGAAGTATCATCCGAAAGCTTTCGGAGGAAGTGATATAAAAGTTTATCCCTATTTCACTGACTACTCTCATTGCCTTAAAAATCACCTTCATTTCAACGGGTTGAATACCATTTCCTCAGTGAGAATGATTTGGATTAAAATCTATTTAACTTTTTAAAGAAGCTTTTGGCATGGACAAGTGAATGAAAAAATAATTCTTCAATGTTAAAGAGCACTACAAGTTTGAATATGATAGTGAAAAAAGCACCAGTTGTAAAAATGTTGTACATGTATAATGGCCGTGCTTTGAACTGTCGATTGCCTTAGATTTCATACCTAGCAGTTAGGAAATCTGTGTTGTAAATACTGTCAGCTTTTATGGACATAATATACTCCTTGGCTGATTGTAAACACCTGCATGCTCACAATCAGCTACCATCTTAGCTAGCCGTTTGGCTGTTTTACCCGGTCTCAACTGAAATTGATTCTGAAGTACGGTAAATGTCAACAAAGAACTGACCTGTGTTTGATTTTACTCCTTGTTTCTCTTTTCTTATGCATATCTATTTGTAGGATATAATTAAAATCAATAAATTTTATTGTAAAACCTATTGTAAAATCTCTTATTTTCGTGTTTTTTTCTCTGATTTCGTGGGTAATCTTCATCCACGAATTCATAGAACCACAAAGTAATACATGATATAAAACAATTCTCTGTTTAATTGGGTACTCGTAATCCATCAATTCCTGTACCCATGAAATGGTGATTAAACCCCATGAAATTATCTGTCACGAAACCCCATGAAAATATCTGTTTTCACAGTAATAATAACTGAAATATATGTAATGCCAGCTGTTACACATTGTTGTTCTTATTTTTATGCATGACCAACAAACTCACAGATGGAATTAATGAAGAAACAACAAAACCAGATGTTGTGGTCAATAAAATATATTTAATATCTTAATTTTAAATTAAACAACTAACAATATGAATGATATACATGCATACATAAAAATACAAAACTACCATTCTGTGCATTTTCTTAGGTTACAATTTTCTGGACCACCCCTTTTCTCATCACATGTACTTACAAAAGAGTGATGGATTGTGAAATTTTATATACCGGGTAATTTTGTATGAATTTCTTAAGATGCAAAACTTCATGCATTAAGACTTCAATGACAAATCTTAAATGTATACTGGTATATCACATGAAATTAAGATTTAAAATATTACATAATCCTGAAGTAATACAGCTGTTCAGTTTAATATGTTAATTTCACTAGCCGAGGTAAATGGGGCAAGAAAAAGAAGACACCTTCAAAATGAAAATAGGTCATGGAACAGAATATCGTATCTTTAATTAACATGTTCTTTATTTCAAAATTGTAAGTGGATAAAAAGATTTTTTTCTGGGACTTCAATGTAGCTAGCATGACTTATGTGTAAGGGAACCTGCAATAGATATTGTAAAAAAAAATGTGTTTTTATGTGAAATTATGTTTAAGGTTCATTAAGACTTCTTTTCCACCATTTCCTTAAATACAACCAAAGTGATCCAGATTTATATGGGGTATTATAAAGTTTAGATTTATTTATGCATATGTTGTCCTTTTGCCTTAACACTGTTCCTTTAAATGTGTTCAGTCCAACAGTTGAAGGTCAATGTCAACCTTGTGGGGTAGTTCTCAAATATAATCTAGTCAATGAAGTTTACAGATTTATATTTTAAAATAATGTAACTCTGTGATGAGATAAGGGGTGTACCTTTCAGCTAGCCCTGTGCCTGAGGCGAGAAGATTTTGTAAAGGCTAGTGAAAATTTTCAAAATTTCCTATGAAATTATAGCTTTGGCTTGAAGAATTTTGCAAAATCAGCCTAAAATATTCTACACTCCTATCAGAAATGGTAATACACTTGCCTGTTCATAAAGTATTTTTGGCTAATCTGTTGGGGTTCATATGCCATGAATTGTAAGCTAGATTTTGATTTTCAATATGGCATAAATACAAAAAAAAATCCATTCATAATACAAAGGCATGGAACAATATATTCACTTTACCACATAGATATGAAAACAAGCTACAATAAATCTTTAAAAAAAATAGCACACAAGTCAATTAGGAAAATGTGATTTTTTTTTTGAAAAAAACCCCATCTTAGCAGTTTGACTATTAAACCAAAGATGAGATTTATTGGCAATATATAACATAACAACTTTGAGACATACACATGGACAATTCTGGCTAAGTCATGCAGTACATTTCTAAGATCTTAACATGCATAACAATTTCACCAGTCATTACACTATTTGATATGTACAATTAGTATATTTTGGGCTGATGTAAATGGAATGGAGATTCAACATATCACAGACAGTATTTTTTATTTTGCTGGATTGTAAAGATATTCTTTATATTTCGCGAAATGCAACAACTCTTCGCCCCCCAACCCCCTCCCAAACCAATAACAACAAAGTTGCTTCCCTTACTACAAAAACAACAACTTTCTTAATTTTGGTTTTTGGTACAGTTGCATCAAACAGAGCCAATCAAAGTCTAACAAGGGAGACAAACAAAGTCTAACAAGGGAGACAAACAATTTCAGCAGGATCATACTTATCATGGAAAAGCACCAACCTAATAATAATAACAACTGAAAAAAGTGAAGGAAATGTATAAATACTAATACACAAAACCTTTATCTAACCACTATACTAGAACACTTATACTTCATTTGTTCATAAATAAAAGTGTATATATTTCAATAACAAAATTTGAAAAATAGATGTTATGAAATTTTAAGATTTTGAGTAAATCAATAAATCACACGTACCACCTTGTTTCATGTTCACGTCACTGCATCACAAACAGATGTCTTAAAACTTGTACAACAGCCATAACCGAATTGATCTCTTCATATATCAATCATTATCGTATCAAAAAATTGGTTAACAGCTGTTGAATTTTCAAATTTCATATTTTTCTATCTTTCAGGCAATGAATATTAGTTTAACAACTTTTTTTCTCTAGTTAAAGATATGACAATATAAAAAGTTCTTAATATTTGCTAAGAGATATAAGGTCAGGTTAATAAAAAAAAATCTAAAATTATATTTGATACAAACATTCCAACAGTTCCTATTTAAAAAGAAAATGATGTATGAAATAACTGATTTTTTCCCTCACTTTTCCTTTCCTACTAATTTCAATTCAGAAATCTAACTATCTTGAAATAGTTACAGATCTCTTCTTGCAAGAAAACAGACGACAGATGTAGACATACCTTAGGACACACATAACACCTTGGTTTATGGTCAAACTTGGGAATGCCTAAGTTACATTTTTCAAATGTTTCATTTAAAAATATAATAAACCGGGTATTAAAAAGGTTTTTCAAAATTTTTACTCAAAAGTAAATTATACCAGGTTTTGAAAAACAAAATTATATGGAGGTAGAATGTGTTAGGAAAGTCAATGTAACTCATTCACCCCTGAAATTTTATAATGAACTGTTCCAACCTTTGAATTAGAAGAGTTCAAATGTGTCTTCAGGGATGAATGAGTTAATGTTTTGTTGTATTGCATGCAATTGCCAAATATGATTGTAACGGCGAAACATATCAAAACACTTCCTGAAATTTTAAATGGAAACTACGTTGAAAAGTTCACAATTCATCACTCATAACATCAAAAATTCTTTAAAAATCACATTAAAAAACCCATAAAAAAACACCTCCAGGGCCATTGACACTTTTCTTTCAGCATGAAATAACACCAACATCTAACTTTCAAATATAACGTAAAAATATAAAACATCTACAAAAAATAACACCAAATAATGAAGTTACAACAATAGCTATTTGCAATATTGGGACCTAACTATGATATGTAAAAATAAAATTAATATAGGTTTAAAAACTAATATAAAATAACATGTTTTGTACACAGGTTGAAAATGACCAGCACTAGAATATAGAGATACAATAGAGATAATTTAAGACAAACTTTATGTTCACATCAATGGTCAATTTTTTTTTTTTACCCCCAACGGGGGTGAGAAAGGAAAATTTCGACCAGAGGGGAAAGATTCTTTCATTTAAAAACATGAGTGTTTTACAACTTAAAAATCTTTCCCAGGTGGTTGAGATTCTCCACCATACCTGAAGGGAGGTGAAAGATTCATTTCTTTTACCATGTTGACCTTGTCATACACCTTACACAATTTTGAAGTGACAGGCTCTATGCATTAATGATGTGATGATAATTCATTGTGACCCGGTAATGCAACGTCATACAGTTGTTTAGACTGGGGAATTGCCCGTCTCAACCCTAGGGTAAGGTATGATAATATCACGATGGAAAAAGTGTGGATACACCCGTCATGGGTAAGACAAATAACAATTCACTGCTGGATATTGTTGGCGGGAAAAATATAACATTGTAATAGCCCTGTCAAAGCCCTAATTTATACGTTAACTTTTTATCATTCTTTTAACATGAAAGCATACAAAGGATTTTAAGATATTTGAATTGATCATAAAACCCCCCAAAAAAACCATAATGATAATGCTGTTTAACAGTTTTTTGACTCGTTGATCTGTCCAAACCAGGCCCCATTTGTTTTTTTAAATGCATACCAAAATTTTATTAAATATGTTTTTTTTTGCCATTTTACTAAACCATATATGCTATTAATGTTTGCCGGTACGGTATTGCTTAAAACAATTTTACTAACATTCTAAAAAAAATCAAACTTTCAATCAGTCAAGAAAATGCTTTAGTCAATGAAAATTTACTTTTCAAAGATCATAGAAAATCTGGAGAATATGAAAATGAATTCAATAACAATAAACAATTCATAGAAAACTGAATTCCAAACTTTCATTTTCTCCCTAAACATTTTTGACCTGGTCTCAGTCCACAGGAATACCTTGCTTCATCATGTTGATTTTGTTGTACAGGTACGTTGTACATATGACCCGTATATGATGTTGCAAGGACTTATAATCCTGAAAAAAATCTGTATTCAGTTCCTCAAAGGCAGTGCATCATTTTAGAAACAAACAGATGTAGTTTAACTGTTTAAGACATTTTTTTCCACAGTTAATCATTAAAATGTTTAAAATAAAATTTTATAGCCATCGAGTGTAACTAAAACTAAGTCGGAGCATATTGGTTTCCAATAAAATTTGAATAATCTTGAGTTTTTAAGATAAAAAAAACCCCATGCAGTTCTTTTGTATTGGAATCTGGATAGCGACATTTCTGAGTCTAATTCTATTTAACTGTATGTATGTGTACTTAAAGACTGTTGGTTATTGTGTGGGGGTTTCTCAGGAGAGGTAACAGAACCAGTGTACACACACATGCGCATGAGTTGGAAAGAACAAAAGATCTCAGGTATACAGGTGATAGTTATGTCACACATAGGAAAACAGTGCTAAAATGTTAAACATGCATCTAAAATAAATTAATATACAAAAAATGTTGTTAATACTAACCCTTTTTTTTACATTTTCTGTATTATAAGCTACCTTATTGAATACAAATTATACAAATTAAAATCTATCGATGCATTGTAAATGATTTGATGAGTCAAAATACCCAGCTGAGGTTCTTTTGAGAAATATATGTTACGATGCCACAGAATGTACCTGTCTGTAATACGACACTTTTCATTGTTAAGCACTAGAATTAGCACTTATGGTGAATGTAAGGTAATCAATTTATAAAATAGCCAAAATGTCATGCTTCTAGAATAATTTGCAATTTTTCACTGAATAAATTAAGTGGGAGCTAATGTTTTTAAATGAAAAACATAACCAATAAGTAAGAAAACTTCATTATGAATAATTACCACATAATAAAAAGGGTCAACATTTTCTGGCTATAATGTTTTTCTTGCTATAATGCTTTTCTTGCTTTTCTTGGGTAATAAACATAAAATATCAAATGAATTAACTCTCCACTTTAAAGAAGAGCAAAGGCTTGGGGGGAAAAAGAAACTGATACAAGCAGTTATATCTCAAAAGTGATTATACAAACCATTCGTAAGAAAATCTGCAGAGTATTTTAATTTGCATTATTTTTCACTATCTACACCAAAATAGGAAAAAATATGTGTTAGACTGTTAAATCAGTTGTCAGAGAAATTTAAACCAGAACAAAGTTCAAAGAGATGTAACAAAACATGCACCCATCAAATTACTGATTCATACCGTCACTATTAGTATCTTTTAATAGTTGGAATTTTATAACTGAGATTCTTTTTTTTTATGAGTAAAGGAATATATATATAAATAATGCTTGGCACTACATCGTTTACCCTCAATATATATTAGTAAACAAATATTAACATTATTAATGTTTTACATGTATATGAAAAAAAATAAAATAAAAAAAATAAGAATGTTTAATAAATTAACATATATTAAGTCTTTGGTTAAATACAAATAAATGTATGTCATAAAACTATTTGATTACCCCTTCTTTTTCAGTCTACAATGTAAGTGTTTGGCAATGAAATATCATTAATATGTCATTATGATGACAGGGGTAAATATATAACATTATTATTATAATAATTATTAATATTAGCACTGGTACTATAAAACTGATTTAAATAAATATATATCATATAGGAATTTCTTTGGCAAGTTTAAAATTGATTAATATTGAATTTAAGATGATTTAATCAGTGATCATCTGCTCCATTGAGGCAGTGTCGTCTATACAATCTCACTGATAAGACTACTTGCTTGATGAATTTTCAATCATGAATGATTGTTTGAATTGTTTGATTGCCTGTAAATCAGCTGTCATTTTTAATATGATATCGGGTTTTTTTTATGATATCTATACATGTAACTTGCAACTTATGGATTAATATGGCTAGATACATGTATATACCCGGATATAAATTTATTTTTGTTAGGGGTTTCCTCACCTAAGGTTATATATTATCTTACTGTGACACAAACCTTCTTCTCAAAAGAGTTATACTTCAAACGAACATGTCAAACTGGTGAATAATTATTCAGACTAGATTAATCAAAACACATATATGTAACTTTTTTTTATGTATTTAAAAAGTACACAAGAATGTAGGCATTGATATCAGCTGATTAATTCTGAATGGTTAGGTTAGGTAAGGAGCATAACTCTTAACACAAATCACAGGAGTAATGTGTAAGGGAGGTAACTCTTGCACAAAATCACAAGTATAATGTGCAAGGTAATATATAATCTTACAAACTTCGTTAGTTATGAGTGAACATAGGTTTCTCCTCAATAATAAAATCATTACTATTTGAAAAAAATATTTACCAATTTAGTGAGTGGTTTTTTTTTATTCAATGCCAGATTTTTGTTATTAATAATAAAAGGTTATTTGATGCAATTATTATGTTGTTATTTTCCCTTCACTTCCGTCACACATGCGTTTGAAGAGGGAGGAGCGCCAGGAGAGCTTGCTCCCTCTATATGGAGGGGGGACAAGACCTGCGTCCTGTAAAGTAGATTGTACTAATTTTAAAGACGGTGGCATAAGTCCTGCGTCGTGTTTAGATTTCGAAAAACCACTGCGTCTAGGTACCGATCCTGCATCCTGAAAAATACATCGTTGTTTGAAGTAATCAATAAACCTATTTTTTTAAATAACAATTCAATATCTAGAAATGAATAATATATTTTAATGTTATAATATTTTATCTCCTTGAATAAGTGTTAATCCTTTTACTAAAAGTATGTGGTGTTATTAAACCATTTGAAACCAGTCCTTTTTAAAAGATCTACATATCTACTATTCTACATTAATTAACATATATGAATACTTTCAAAAGTGTTAGTATCCAGGACCGATGAGAAATTGAAATAAAAATTGATGCATAATGCATATTGTGGTACTTTGCTTGTAATAATTCTGATTACCAGGTCGAAAAAATCCAAAATCATCAAAATAGGGGCGATAGTTTTTATTTCAGAAAAACTAAAAAAATAGTAGAAATAACTAACCAACAATTCTTGACATATTAACATTAGCACTTACGTAGTGTCAACTAAAGTTTGGCAAAATATTTTTCTAGATAAAACTTGACACAGTTGAAAGCCCATTTTATAACAGAGTGCAAAAAATAGTGATTTCTAATAAATGTAATCTCTTTAGCAATTCTATAATTAAATTTGGCAAATCAATAACGTCGATCTAGCGATTATCTCGTTAGTAATACTTTACTAAGTGTTTGGCACATCAATATGTTTGATTTTACAATTTTGCCTTCACAGCAATGCTACGACAAATCTTCGGCATATTGGTACATCCCATAATGTTAATAAGAAGTCCACGCCATACATGGGTTGTGATGGCACTGTAAGACAACTCGGGATATTACAAAGCATGCAGGCTAATTGACTACTTGCAAATAATGCGTAGGGGCCAACAGCTTATCTTCTGAAAGAGAAACAAAAGTCAAAGGCTGTATTGAATGAAGCAGAATAGTTTTAAGACAATTTGAAAATTGAAAGTGAACGAGTGCAAAGTGCTTTAGTGCATTAGATAGTGATATTTATCAACATGCTATAGATTATTTAACTGAAAATTACACAAACAATCTGGCCGTAATTTTTGGGATTCTGTCTAAAAATATTTTTTCACTTGTTAATGTTTCTGTTTAAAAAAATATATATGGAAAGATGGAACATTACTTGAAGCTAGAGTTAGCAAATATTGATCAAAGTCCCAAAGAATACGCCATTACTTTTTTCTCATGAAAAAGGAAATATTCAACATACATATCACAAACAAACCGAGCAAACAAATAAAAGCAGCATCACCAAGAGTTATGAAGCAAGACTATAGTTTCTTTTCTCGCTATGTAAATCACCCTGAGTTATGTTCCAAACTTTACTTGTATGAGAGCTGTACTCCCACTGTATATACAGTAGGAGAGGACAGCTCGCACATTTTACCTTATCTGAACTTTCACTGTATCCACTGTAGTCCCAGTCCTGATGAAAAATATTTCAAAATAATACAGAAATTCTTCAATTCAAATGGTAACAGTTGTCTCCCTTTTCTTCAAAAAGTCATTGGAACTTCCCAGAGTTTTTTTTTACTAACAAAAGCTTGTAATGCAATTTGCTACAACTAAAAATAATTGATAAAAAAAGAACTACATTTAGAAACAAAATCTAAAAACTGAAAAGAAAATATATATATTTATCTATGTTAACTATTTTAATTGAAACTTTAACTCATTCACCCCTGAAATTTCATAATAAAATATTTCAACCTTTGAATAGGAAGAGTTCAAATGTGTCTTCAGGGGTGAATGAGGTAATCAAGTTGAAGCTTGTCAGATTAATGACTTATTTTAGTTAATGCTGTTGATTAATTGTTTTTGTGTATGTACATGTACTACACAGATGTATTATATTGCATTTCCAAAACTTTGAAAAAAAATAGTATTTACCTACTTTTTTTCTCAAATATGATTGGTTTAAGTTTTGTTGTTAAAAAGAATAAGCATAATATAGTTAAGTTATATACAGAATTAGATTTATCACTCATGTTTGAATCAATTAAATTGGCACCTCTTTTCTAAAGAAATATAAATCTCAGACTTGAGTAGTGCTATAAACATATAAGGCTGATGATAGTACAATTAATAGCCATGATGGAGTTTAAGATTGAACTTTAAGGGCAGAGTGGCCATTCGATTCAAACACAGGTGTGAAATCAATCGATATTATCCAACACACCTAGGCCATGGTGTATTGATTAAATCAGGGTTTACTCAGGAGCCTGTAGTGACATAGTCCATAACCAAAAGGGAAGTTGTTTGACTTTGAAACACATTTGTAACTAAGAAAGTAAAAGAAAAATTGCAGATGGTGTTTGAGAAGATTCTACAAGCAATATGAAAGGGAGATAAGGACTAAAATTAGGATATAAAGAAAAGGGGAGGTAATAGCAGATGATGATTTGAAATTGAAAAAAAAAATCAAAAGCATGGAATCGGCAAGTATATGACTTGATACAGAGTTAGAGATAATATTTCTTACCGGTTCTATACCATCACAAGAACCAACAGCCAATTTGTACTACAATAACATAACAACATAGATCTATATATGTATATAACAAAGACCACAGTACCTTGTGCATCCTGGTCTAATTTAACAGATATTTTCAGGAAAATATATATTCATGTATTATAAAATGTATACATTTCCTTTGTCACAGCATCAAATCTCAAGAAATTTAGACATCTAACACTTCCAGAAAAATCACAGCATAGCAAATCTAAATCTGTCATCATAGCAATACAATCAGTTTGGCTGAATATGGTGAATATTCATAAAAAATATGGCACTCTTTATGCATTACACTACCATACCTCTGTTTATTGAAGCATGATATGAGAATTTCACTTGATACAAATATGACCAATCATCACAGTATTATAACAATATATCATAATCATGATTAATAAAAAATAATGTTTATGATGTAAAAACTAATTAGGATTACATGTTTAAACTTAAGTAATATCAGATCTATCTAAGTTTTGACAATCATTATATGACATGGAACGGCAGTTCAAATACCTGCATCTTTCAGTTAACTTTAACAAAATGTAAGGCACTAGGGAGTAAAACAAAACAAAAACAAATAAAATTCTAATGTTGTAAACAAAATCTAAGAATAGATAACAAATGAAACATCTGGCCTATGATGAAAACATAACACAAATTGTATACTACGAAAAACTGACTAGATCATGATAATCCAAACCTGGAAGACATTCTGATTATAATAGTACAATTTAGCCGAAACACTTTTTTCATTATTTAACTACATTTATGCCTGTGACAAAATGTAACATAAATAGATACAATGTAAAATTTGTACATTGATTTATCTTTACGAAGTTCAATACAAAATGGTTGACAGGCACATGTTCGAATAAATGTATAATTGTGATAAGGAAAAATTTCATCCTAGAAATGCCAAACTGTTAGTCATGGAAAAGTTGAAAGCATAAAAACTAAAAAAAAACCACCAGAATTAATTTCAATAAATTTACTGGTGTTACGATGCCAGTTTTGGTGTTTCTAAGACAAACTTGTGAAAAAATATTCAAATCTATTTTTTGATCTAGCTATGTATTCACTTGCTTGGCTATCACACGGGCTCGCAGGCTAAGGCGATTTGCTGATGACTGAGCTCTATGAAGATTAAATGGTGGAAATGCTCTAGGAACCGAGGCACTTGGAGAATGTGGAACACATACAGATAACTGAGATATATGAGTGTCTGAACTTGTCAGATCTTTAAAACGTCTATTGCTCGACTGTGGGTAAATGAATCTTTCTGGACCAAATTCGACGACATTCGGTCCAGAAGAGAGTTCAACATTAGTTTTGTTATTTGAAGGAAATTCAAATGATGATAGTTCAGATGAAACTTGGCTAGAATGAGTGTGAAAGTCATGTTTTTGATTGGTCATTTTAGGATGAAAGCCAGACACACCAATGTCAGTGGGACCAGAAAAACCAGAGGCATGCCACTGCATAGATAAATGAGGAAGGTTTACCTCCGCACGCTTTTTGCTTTTTGACTCGGATCGTTGGTATTCCACATCATCATCATCATCATCATCATCCACCACAATAGTAGTAGATTTGTCTGTGCTGTAACTTGCTACACCCCATTTGTGGTTGAACTTTGACCTTGGAAGTCGTTTATCAGTGTTTCCGGACCGAGATCTCTCTAGGCAGCTATCTAATGAACTGATACTGTATGCACCAGCGGACTGGCCACTTTGGTGTGAAACATTTTCCATAGAAAGAGTGCTCTTACTGGGTACACTTATGATATTGTCAGTTTCAGAGGAGCTGAATGTTGGCACAAGAGGTATACTGTGTGTTTCAGCTATATTTGGAGCCGTTACCGCTGATGACTTGGTAGGTCGGACATAAGGAAGCTCAGGAAGGGACCGAAGCTGGTGTGTCACTATTGGATTTAGGTTTGAATTTTCCCTTGGGATGTGTGTTGAAATTTGTATCAGATCAGATTTGCATCTGGTTGGTATTGGGTTAAGAGGGGAAAGTGGCCTTGATAAAGCCGTCAACTGAGAGTTCAGATCAGTTGTTGATTTCTGAGTCTTTAATAGAGGTTTGTCTTGGCCGTGTGTGAATCTGATAGGGAGTGGATTAACTGAGGTGTGTACTGGCCTTGTCAGGTGTGTTGAAATGGGAGCTAATGGAGATTGTTTGGAGTTTGCATTTGTCAGTAAAGGTGGCGGCACCAGGATTGGTTTACCACCAGAATCACTTGACTCAGCCGTCTTTGGTTGGTCATTATCAGTACAATCAGTCAAACTAGAAGTAGCCTCTGATGCCACAAATTGCTTATTTTGCTTTAAATCAGATGAAACTGGAGTGAGTGTATCTAGGTCATGTGATTCAGTGTCATGGTAATGTGACTTTGGGTTTTGGTCATGTGATTCTGCACATGGTTTCTCACTACTGACATTTGAATTGGACACAAATGTCCCACTTCTTGAGATTTCTAATGTTTGAATGGGAGTAATAAAATCGGCATTATCATGAATACTGCAGCTATCATCAATGAAGTCTTCCGAATTGCCATCTGTGAATCTTTGAAATGCTACTTTGTCAAGTGCCTCGATTCCTGGGTGAAACCCTGTATCACACACAATACCACTGTCGACCCGAGGATCTTTAACGTCCCCCTCGTCACTGTTTACTTGACCAGCAGCAGGTATGGTGTTTACTGATACAGAATTTTTGTCGTGTACAACAGGTGCGTTAACAACACTGTGCTTGCTACTTTCAACCTCACTCTCAGATGATTCTGAGTCATTCGCTGAGCTCAAAGAACCACCTTGAAGAAAGACCTTCAATCCCCTTTTTCCCTTTTTCCTCACCTTTCCACTACCGCTGGCTGGTCCAATACGCCTGCCCCTCTTGAGCCTTTGAATGTATGCAGTTGGGGGCGAACTCTTGGGGTGGACTTGATTTAGACCATTGAGATTAGCAATGGACTGAAGCTGTTTTTTATACTTCTTTTCGTTCTTCAGAAAAGCTGGCACACGAAGGCAGTCAAGACGTGCGACTCGCTTACATCTTGAAATTTCATCAGGACAGATCTTTCCGCTCATCATCACACCGAAGTCAATGCTATCTGCATTCCTCAGGATGTCAACAGCACCTGAAACAATGACATAAAAAAATGTGAAATGATCACTTCTTCTGTCGATACATAATTAAATCTCTTGAGCCTAATACCTAGCCCTCTTTGAATCGCAATTGATATTTAACTCATTCACCCCTGAAGGCACATTTGAACTCTTCCAATTCAAAGGTTTGAATAGTCCATCATGAAATTTTAGGAGTGAACGAGTTAAATAATTTTAAGTCCTGAATATATGTAGAAGCAGCTTTTGAATCAAAGCATGTAGTGTATCCTATTAAAAGAAATCTCTCGGACAAGTTTTACTCACAGGGACTTGTAGCCTGACCCAGCCTCTCCATACACAGGTATAAAGTATGTGGTATTATTATACCAACAAATATGGGAGAGAAAGGGTCATTCTATAGTTCCCAGTGGTTCTACTGTATTGAATGGTGTCCACATTGCATGATTCGGTCTTCACCGACAAATTTCATATTTTATACATACAGAATAACGAGGACATTGATAATTTTTAAACTTTTAAATCTACTTCACTTGATGTGCACTGAGGTTGTTAAGTGGCGAGAAGATATGAAACATATTGAGCACTTTTGAAGTTTCATTTTTAATTTGTATACCTGTAGATGTGTCTATATGATAAGCTGCAAAACTGTGTTCTATTATTAACCTTCAAAGTAGCATTGATCTTTTCCATAGCCTCCAATATCATTGGGGTCCACAAGACCTCGCTTCACCCTCATACAGTACTTCCATCGCTGTTCTTTACTGGATATAAACGTCCCCAAGTGGTCAAAGAGCTGTTTGAATGACATTCCACTGGCTTTACAGGCAGTATCTGTATCAGACAAAGATCAACATTGTACTGCACATCAAACATTTAATTAGACATCACTGCATTGTTCCTTGTAATGTCACCTCACCAGTAACTATATCAAAAATGTTAAATTTCAAAGGTGTAGAGCCAACTTGTTAAAGGGACATCACGTGAAAAGGCGTTTTTTTTTTAATGAATGTATGTATTGTATGCACTTCCACTTATGTTACCTCGCTATCCCCATATTCATAGTCCATTCCAAATGTCCAGTTTGACCACTTGAATTGTTCGGGAAAGCCCTACTAAAAATAGCGCCGATAACGTCACCCGACTAGGCAGTAAACACGTACGCGTGCACAAGTGGTGCGAGCGAGATGAAACGGTTTCCAAAGGGGCCCCCAGAGAGGGGCCGTCAGGCAACAGCAACTTCTTACCGCACTATGAAACCAAGTAATGTGATTTCTAAGTCCGTATTCAAACTTATTGAACAGTAATTATTCATCATTAGAAGTTAATTGCACACTTGCCAATGTTCAGAATTTAAATTTATTAAGCTTTAAACAAAAATTTGTTGCCAATAAAATTAAACAAGGGATGGGGCACACGTTTTTACAATTTATCACAGCCTTCTCCCGTCATACATTTACAATTAAATGTCAACAATGATAATAGACATAAACATAAAGTAGATATATTTAAATATATATTGAATTTAGTACCGGAATGTGGCCGGTACAGATGGTACGGGGCTAAACACCTTCCCTACACCAAGGGACAAACCTTTCTGATTTTTTTTTTATATATTGCCGGGGCAGAGGAGGCCGGGTATTCATATTAGTACTAATTTAAATCTTGCATGTAAAAACAAAAATAATCGTTTAATTCAGCAATATAATTAAATCATACCATTTTATTGAACCCGGTAATATTATAAATTATGTAAATCCACGGACTTCGATAACACGTATCTCGGTGACCCAGAAAATACGCCGTGGGCCATCACAACAGTTATCCCTTGGAGGGCCTCATGGAAAAATCAAACTAACCAGTCACTTATCCCTTCCTTTCGCATAAACCACTGTATAATTATAGAAACACAAAGTAAACTCTCTCCAATACATGCCCATTAACATATTAAACTAAGTTCATCTGTGTTCAAACTCAGACAAAGATACTAGCGAGCTTAATAGTTTTAGATATTTATTCATAACATAAACAGCGCTAGCATTTCTGTCGATTCCATTTCAGCTTAACCGGCTATCCGGAAGAATACATGCACCGTACTAACTGCTACGGCAGTTATTTTCTCCTTTGAATACTGCCCACCTGCAATAATGATTCCGTAACGTACTCCTTACGCTATCTTTTGACCATTTGGCAACTTTTCGTTTCGTAGCTGACACGGTACAACACTTTTCTTTCGCTTACTTCACACGGCCAGTCATTTTGTTTACAAAGAAATGGTGTGCTATGCGCATGCGCTAGTAGAGGGAAATCCCTGAACAAAACGTTGGTCAGACAGGTAGAAAGATTTTCTTAGATTTTATCATTTTTATGAATCTACTTCAGCCAAATCCGATCGTTACTTTCCATAAGGAGTCTCACTTGATATGTTTATGTAGTATGTGAAAAAAAGACAAAAAATAAAGTTACTTCACCGTGATGCCCCTTTAACCACATAAAACTCTTCAAAATTCCTCTTGTTAGTAATGCTTGATTATGTTGAGATTAAGTCTTATAAAAATGTTAAATATTATTATCAGTTATTACATTGCATATCATCTTGACCATGTGTGATAAACATCCTAGTTATTGTAAAACACAAGTGAAGTCTTGACATAGGACTTCGATACAACATGGCAAGTCCCTACACAACCCATAAGAAGCATTTCTTGGGCAGGATAAACATCCTTAATGTTGTATATGAGATCCTAGAAGGATCTTGGCACCAACCATGAAATGATCTTTATCAGATCTGAAAAGATGATCTTTTGCTTTCTTCCCTTATCTTTTTCCTTAAAGATACTACAACCCATTCCCATGTACAAAATCCTAAATGGGAATCATGTACATTACCTTAAACCATGTAATGTCATATGTTATTTGCCACTATGGCAAATAATATTGTATAAGAATTGCATAACAGTAAAATGTAAACATGCACAATTTGAGACCACAGGAGACTTACATACATGTATTCAATTTGAAAATGATTCCTCCACCACTTTCTTAGAAATAGTGATAACAAGAATTGTTTAAGGACAGACGATGGACTGATGGACCAAGGACCATGGACCACAGTCGCAGGGTCCCAGCCAACCATCTGATGATGGGCGATTTAAAAACAAGTGAAATATTAAATGTCATAGGACTTACAATACAACATGGCAGGCCCCCACAGGAAGCGCTCCTTGGCCTCCAGAATAGTATGTATGGCTGCTAATCCTTCCTCTGCTCGCATGTGTTCCAGACTGCCCATACCCTTGATACCAAACCTCCGACGGTCACTATACCACGGCTGGAGGCCGTCATTGAAGGCACGAAACTAGAACCTCTATCAAGGAATCATAATTTGTGAATTTTCCTTTAGAATGAGTGCACCATCAAGAGATAAAGTACCCATAAAATTTCAATGATTCCACATGACAAATCAGAACTCAGCACAGCAAATTAACAGTAAAATATTAATATACATCCACTTTTTCCCCCCAAAATATTATTGCCATTGATACATGTATGCAAAAATGCCTATCATGCCAATTTATTTTAAAATATTAAGTTTATAAAAAAATCTCAATTGTTTATTATAATATTTAAAAAAAACTCTACCTCTCTATCTATTTGTTATACTCCACAGAGACCAGAGTGGCTTTAGAATTAATTTAGTTTTCATTTCATTTTAATGTTTTGTGGCCGCTGTACTGATGCACTTTCTCTTAGAAAGCAAGAAAACAAATATGACATGATGGAACAATTCATTAAAGGATACAAAATGGGTGCCGATCTCGTGGTTGGCCAGACATCGAATCCCAAGTTCTGTGATGTACACGTTGTCGGTGGAGTTCCTTATCCAAAAGGAGAAGTTCCTGGCCTCAGGCTTATTAGATTTCACATTAGGACCGACCCACATCATCCGTGCACTAAAATGTACACAATATTGATCAAACAGAGGAATGCAAAAGCAGAATGCATGTACAATGTGCACTGTCAATCTGAAATGTGTTCACACTGTTATCTTTCTGTTTAAAAAACAAGGTAAATTAACAAATTGACAAATCCTATATAATCTCCTTGAAACAATAATAATCTATCCAAGTTCATTTTTATGAGTACTTTTCCACTGTATTGTTAAAACTATTGGTCCACCATGTTGAATTTCAGTATTTTCTCTATGAATTTAAGCCTAAACTCCAGACTTGCATGCAATTTTATCACTGCATGCAAAAATATACATACCTAATAATGTTTCCTATAAATAAAATAGGATTTTGAAATACAGTAATTTATATAGCTTTAGGAGTAGTATAACGGCTCATCCTGTAACCACAGTGGTTATTCCACGTGTGGTTGAAATGACTGGCCACTCAACCTCTACAAATATTGCTCTATTCCCAAGGTTTTAAACTTCAGGTTTTGTGCATTTTTGTTTTATCTCACACAAAAGATTTCTGTTAGTGGAATTGATGGAATAGATTATTTTGGTCCTTGTTTTCATGCTAAATTGAATCCCCAAATTTATGACATCAAAACAAATCTTTTTACCTGGCTGCCATATCATTGCACCAAATTATACTCATGGCCCCATCAAGGTTGTTTTCTTTTATATAATCCTGGAGGAGTTCCGTCGCCCGCTCTTTTGTGATTCTCTCTCCATACTGCTTGCTTAAGTATTTCTCCGCATCACCAAACTTCTCCTTCACTGACTTCAATATATATTCCGCTTCACCAAACAAATCAAACCGAATTTGATTTTTGGCCTTATGGTACAACAGCTCAATTTCATCCTCTGATCCTTTGAGGATAAATTGTGGCAGTTTGCCATGCTTGAGGAAGCGTTCTCTTTGCTCCTCAAGGTTTAACGGACATATTGCACCTGTAAACTTCAAAGGCTGCTGTTCTAAGAATTTTATTTTAGTTTTCTGGCCTTTATCTTTATGTTTATCTTTTCTGGTCATCCCTTCTGATGCATATAACTGAAGGCTTTTGTTCAGCTTCTCTCCTGAAATTATAATAAAAATAATAATATTAGCTTGTACATGTAATAGGAAAACATCTTACCTCCATCCTCGATACCCAGGGGTTATGCTCACTTACGCTATCTGCACCCCTGGAATATATGTCATAGCAAAATTGAAGGCATAAAGATAGCTGTTTGATTGGTCTCAGGTAAAACAAACTGACAAATCGCTAGGCTGATAGCTGTCCTTTGAAGATTACAAAGGGGCAACACCTGACTTCAAAGTAAGTCAATTTTTACCATTACACCACCGCAAGATTCTTTTGATGTATATCAAAGGCTCAAACTAGTCTTCTAGTCTCATCAACAAGGTGGTGCACACTGAGCCTTCAATTTTTCTATGACATATTGCAGGGGTGCAGAGAGCGTACGTGAGCGTACCCCCTGGATATCGAGGATGTCCTACCTCTAGCTCAGTAATTTCATGCAGGCTTTAAAGACTGACCTTTATCAATGACATCAAACAGAACAAAACTAGAGGAATAAATTTGCTGAGCCTGAAATTAGACCCGAGATATTCAGGTACATATGAATTATTTTCTTAAGTTAAACATAACATACAAAGTTTAAACATTTGTTTCTTTCAGTATTAATAAATATGGAAGCAAATATATGTAAAATATAGATTCATCTGCATCTTTTTTCCTTCCTCCGTCGATACCGCCGTACACTGTACGACACAATATAGTCGCTGTCAGTGCTGATCAAGAATTATAATATTAGGCACCCATGACCTCTGCTTAGGGTAACATAACCCAGAGGCTCTTGGTTATATGTTACATATATGGTACCATATAGCAACATGGACACACTGTGAATATGCAGTTATAGATAACATTTATAAACCTTACCTCACTTATTCACGATATTAGCCACTCTCAAACATAAATAACGCCAAGTACATAAGTTACCTGATTACGGTAGCCCTACTAACATTTTAGGAAGGAACGAAAGTGAAATATCTGCAAAATGTCTCAGGTTCTCAGCGAGTTAGCTTTAGCAATTTACAAGCGAAAGTGACTTACTTTGTTGTTCTACCGGTACGCTTTCTTTTTGCGGCAGATGCCCATGTGTCGTCTGTTGTTCTGCCGTGATGATCACGTCAAAGGCAAGCAACTTCTGATCGACTACACAGGCACCGCCGAGTGTCCGCCATGTCTAAATACACAGGTATCTAAGAAGCTTTGTTACGTCACAAGTACCGGAAACCATTGTTATTGGTGGTTTAGCTTACACCATGGGATGAGTCTAGAAACATTCCGAATGGTTACATTTAGCAATTTGTAAAACAAATTAATATTTAAATATCCTGATTAAATCGAGCGCATCGCCTTCTTTTATGTCACTTTATAATACTTTAACCACATATTTAATGTATTGGCAGAAATTAGCACAAGAACTATGTATGCTTATATATGCTTATATGTGCTTATGGTTCATACTCCCCCTCCCTCCCTTGCTCAACATATCGAATATTTGCAAGGCTATATCTAGTCATAGGCTTAGTACTATAATGTATCGATATCAATATATGAGAAACAACAGATTATCTTACTTCAAGTATTTTTGATGGGGCGGAGCACGGACTTAGAAAGAATCTAGGAATCTAATTACGTGGCGGAGATATAAAACACGGAATTGATTTTCAAAGTCCTTGTATAAGATATATAATTCGTTATTATAAGTAAGGTTCGGACTAACTGTTAGCTACTTAGCAGCACTTTTTTTTATTAATCAAAAGTTCAAAGGGACCAGCTCCCCCTTTTTATAGCCACAGGGAATTTGTTTTTGGTTCTTCAACATAAATGAATTATTTCTATTTTAACAACACCAGAAAAAAACTATTCCTCGCACAGCTTTGCGTTAAGATTATGGACAAAAAAAATCTATCTTACTCCGATTTTTAGGATGGATTTTTTTGTGTGCATTTAATTTTGTTTGCTAATATAGAAATAATTCCTCACATCGCTGGGCAGTGCTTTTACAATTTACAGTAGTACTGAAATTGTTTTAATTTTGCCGTTTCCATTGGGCAATAATGTGGAAAAATATAGAAAAAAAACCCAAAGGATAAACATACCTTAGATTAAACCATAAAGCTATACACTATATACTATTAAAGTGTCTCAGACGGCATCAGAGCGCTTCAATATTTCTTCAATGCTTTATATCAAGGTTTAGATTAAATTGTATTTATATTGATTTTCAAAAAAGCCTTTACTTTATTGATACCGTGCCATATAAAAAAAAAAAGTAAAATGTCATCTTACGGGTTAAGGGAACAGATTCTTACCTAGGCGACAAGCTTCATTTCAAACAGAGAACAATTGGTATTATATGTGAAAAGAGAGCATTCAAGTGGGCTTCAATAACATCGGGATTCCCCTAGGATCCGTCCTGGGACCCATTCTGTTCGTTATTTTAACACATTTTGTTGATAAAAGGGATTGGAGAACAAGTTATTTCAACTTAATAAAGTCCTCCCCAAAAACATGTTGTAAAAAAAATATGTACTGATATGTTTAAGGAAACGGATCTATCAAATGGATATGAAAAGAATAGATCCGAGTGGAACGACAAATGACTCGATCTTGAGATTCCATCCTGGAAAGTGTAAATCCACGCACATCGACCTTTTGAGAGAACGAACGAAATAACTTTAACAGTAGTTGAAGAAATGATGCCACGTGCACGAGAAGGATTATTTAGAGACAATGCCCTAACATTTGATGACCAATTTAGTACGTAGGTTTGAATAGGCAAATTCAATGTTCGCGCTCATTCGACGAACCTTTAAATACTTGAATGGACGAACTTTTCTGCTTTTACATAAAACACTCGTAAGAGTTCATCTAGAATATGCAAGCACTGCATATGGTACGATATTAAACTACTCATTTTGACATGTTTTAATGGGTCCAAAGAAGGGCAATGAAACAAGTTTCGGGATAGAGATCTGTCATATCGGAAGCGACTTTAAAGACTGAACTTACCATCTTTGAGCCTTTTTTTCACATAAGAGGGCAGTGAGGACTACCGAAAGGACGTGTTCCCGTAGACCGCAGTAGCTGTGACAGCCTATCCGCATCTGAGGAGCTGTCCGTCCTTAGAGCGTGACCCTCATGATCAGAGGGCCCGGTAAGCGCCAACTTACCACCTCAAGTCGACAAAACACAGACTTCGTCAGTGAAGTGTAGACTATAAACCCGTCAACCAACCAACCAACCAACCAACTTTGAGCTTCAGACAATTTAAAAACGAGTGGTGCCTGTGATCGAAAAGCGACAGATTTCCTTAAATTGTGGCATGAGTTTTCCGAAACACATGGTACCAATAGACATTCTAAAAAAACTTATTCCACAACATTCAAACCTTGAAATAAGGACGATCTTTTATCTCTACGAGTAGTAAATTATTGAACAGTCTTCCAGAGATTGTGGTATCAGCTCCATAAATACAGAAATTTAAAAACATATTCGATAAACACTGGATTGATCAGGAACTGAAATATAATCATGTGATTTCCATAACCGAATTTTACTTTCATATATGTGTACATGTAAGTATTTTTTTAACATGCTTGAGTCCGGCGTAGAGGATCATGCAGATATTGAATCGTAAAATAAACTTAACTATATTCATTTTCCCCCATGGGTGCATGCCTCCAGGCCCTACTGGTGGGATTGTGCGCCTTCGGCGATCGCAGACGGACTTTCGTTCTATGGATTTTTCCACCTTCGACGCCAGTATTTACACCGTTAACAATTTAAGGAGAAAAACACATTTAACACCACCTCCGGACCACCTTCACAAACTCCCGGATACGTCTCCGTGGACAGAGTATATATGATTTGCCCGTACAAAGAGTTTCTTGATAAATAATGGACGACAACTCCGTATAAAGCCTGATCTGGTTTTGGAACGCAATACTCCGCCATCCAAAAGTCGGCAATTTTGGTTATTGTTTAATTAACTATAAGGTCAGTTTAATATTGATATTTCACATAAGCATTCAAAAGTATCCTATAGCACTTTGAATAAAAAATATATACCATTTCAAGCATTATTTGAAAAAGAGTGTTGTCACGCGTTTAGTGAGTCGATTGTATTAAAGCAAAACCAAAACAGGATAATTTTAGAATCGCTGGGGTTTTTATATAGGGTGATTGAGAGAAGCTCAAAACCAGACCTTTTGTCATGCGAGTACAATAATAGTGGTAACAGTTTCTCTTAAAACACGATACATATTAGGGCGATACCTTTCATCAACGAGCGGAGCAAAGCGGATAATATTTTTTTTCGGAGGTTATAATTTTATTTTTTATTTTTTTAGATCTGATATTGTTTCAACTTGTGCCCAGTTCTATTGTTATAGGATGGCAATTAAACATGTTTCAGTGTTAAACAGGTAGATATTTCCTCCAAACTTTTAAATGTCTTGCGCAAAAAAAAAAAGTTAATCCACAGGACCAAGCTCGGATGCGTTTTCAGACCCAATTTTCACGAACATCCCTCAATGTCGTAACTTTCCTAAGTAAGGAAATTTTCCTCAGCTCCAGAATAAGAAATCCAGTGTTAATTCACCATCTTCAAGTTGACTTTTCCTTCTAGAAACAATTGCTAGAGTAAAGAAAATTATCAGGTTCCTGTGATTATACAAGTGAGACACAGATCAAGATGTTCCGAGTATCAGCCGACTATGATGACAGATAACGTGCAGGCCACATTATGCCCCGGGGGTCAAGTTGTGCGCTATGCGTTTGTAGGGTTAAAGGTCATACAGCTACATGGCAAATACGTGTAAATATTTCGAAAATATGTTATCAAATATACAACCAAATTTGTGTAAAAGGCAAAAACAAATGAAGGTAATAAAATCAATATCAGGATATGTTAAAACAGTAATGTCTATATTGTATACTACATATGAAAGGTTATATATCCGATTTGTTTACATTTCTCTCGGCTGGGAGTTGTGGCGTGCTCCTGTAATCCAGTTACTTGGAGGCCGAGGTTGGTGGACGCTTTGAGGGCGGGGGTTCTACCCTCCGGTGTTCTGTGTCGATAGGGCGTCCGCGCTAAGTCTGGTATCAATATGGCCACATTGGGGGAGCCCAGCGTGACCAGGTTGTCTAAGGAGGGACGAATCGGCCCAGGGTGGAAACACAGCAGGCAGAAGTCTCCGTGTCAGACAGTAGTGGGATCGCGCCCTTGAATAGGTGCCGGTTGGTAGCCCGTCCAAT